ATTCAAACCCACATTCGTAGGTTCCTGGCATGCCCAAGGGATGCAACTCTGATCAGCTAATTGTGGTGCCTTAGACAACTGGGCAGTCAGTGTCTCCTTATAACTGAATGTTACCTGTTTTAAATCACAAGGAATACCCACATTATGATTCCTAAATTATACCCTAAATTCTTGATATGATGGAAACATTGAGCTTTGAGCCCACTTAGTGGTTCGATTTGGCACTATGTAAATGTTCAGTATTATTATTTTTATTAAACATTGCAGTTTGAACCAAATTGTACAAATACAGCGGCATGACATACATTATTGTTGCTAAAATATATCAGCCGTAATTTAGACATGTCATTGATCTAGTTGATCTAACTGATTAATAACCAATTAATGTTAGTTCAACTTGTGATGGGAAGGTTGGATAACAGACTGCAATGCACAAGATGGCTTATTATCAAAACCACACAATCATGTTATTAAATAAGGATGGCTAAATCTTTTTTAACATGAGTAATTTAAGAAACCATTCGTCACAAGCATTGTTGGTTGCCTCAATTCAGGTTCATCATCTCTGAATAGGGTATTCTGGCACTATCGTTTCCACACTTGATGTATATGAATTCATATACTGGACAAAATAAGTTAGGAATATTGGTATTTTTATGATTGATATTTTATCAGTGTGTCAATGAATGAATAGATCATTATTCATAATTTAAAAATTTACACATACATGTATCCCTAACTATTTTTGTCCAGTATATGTGTCTGAAGTTCTGATCTGACCCTAATCATGGAGCACAGTAGACAATTATCAACACTAGGCATGTATTGTGCCTAAATCTAGAATGGAAATACACACTGTGTTTAGTAGAGCTAACATTACTTGCAGGCTCTTTCAGTGTTGTCACAACCCCTAGTGTGCAGTACACAACCCTGGGCACTTAAAAGAACCCACTCATCCGATGGTAGGTGACCAGATGGTGGACACATGAACACGGGCAGACACCTAGTTGCGGGTATAGTAACGTGCAGTATCATTGGACAATGTACAGTGGCTATGTGTCCCAGTTCACCGAGCTGCAAATGGGTACCTTGTGAGGATGAGGCTGTGTGATAACTCGCTGCACCTAACAGGCAGCATGAGTTGAATACTCCCCAGGGAGTTGAAGAGGTTAAAAGAATGCCAGAAAAAAAGACATCCGTTGATCAAAGGGAACACTCCTGTGCCTTGAGCATGTACTAGTTGCCTGGATATGTGCGCTAATTAAATATCCTATAATCCTAATAATTAACGGATATTATCAACATGAAAGAGATCAGCACAAGTATCACACCTGGATTGCCCTCCCCCACAGACTTACCAGACACTAAGCACACAGGCATTAGATTGTGGTGTCCTGGCCTACAGCTTGGAGATAATAGGAATAATCTAAAACAAATTATGAAAATCTCTTTCTTGTGGAATAGTTGTACCAGGATTCCAAACTCAGGGCCCTTGGTAGATGAGTTGATCAAACAATTTTGTACAGATCTGGGATTTTCTCAAAAGGGACAGATTTATTCCAACACAAGAAGTGTTAATGTTTGTTATTGCAATGTTTCAGATGTTGCATTGAAGTTATTGCAAAAATGTTACAATAAATTAATACCTCTTCTTACTTACTGATGCTGTTATGAGTGACAAGCAAAGCAGTAATGACTATCAGGAATTATTACCAACATTTGATTCAGACTTGGGTCCAAATATCCGCCTCTGAGCGAGTCTAGAAAAATCCATGTGCACACATTTACATGTGGGTTTGTATTTTTTGGCCATTTCCAGACACATGTACAAATATGCTGAGTTTTAAAACTCTGGATGACTATTAGTGGTGGTCCGATTAATTGAAATAATCGAAGATTGGTCGCAATGACAAAACGACCAAGCAATCAATCATGTTTTCTCATAATCGAACACAATCAATTTTGGAACACTAGTCTGCAATAACAATATTTTTCACAAGGTTGGTTTTGTCTGTTAGATTTCATTGGCACTACAAGCTCTTCCAATTCATGATTGAATTTATTTTAAAGACTCCATGAAATTCATGTTCCTAACATGCTAGTCATCCTTTAAAGATGTGAAATTTGTAAATGCATTTTGGGCAATTTGCAAAGAAAACGAAAGGAACTACATGTTTTTTTCTTTACCTTTTGTGCATTGACAAACATAACCAGGAACATTTGATAAATGACCTAACCAATTATTTTCGATGATTGATCGGTTGTAATGAACCAATCATCAATTATGAGATTTAAACCAATTCCCAACACTAATGACTATAACTATGATTACTGTCAGTCCCAAGTGTATATTTAGCCTTTATCAGTGATTAGTGTTACTAGTACTTACACTGGTAGAGGTTAAATAGCATTCTACATACATACTGCTGTTGGTACATGCATGACCACTGTGAGTTTCACCAAACACACTTTGTTGTTGTTTTAATGCAGCACTCTACAACATTCTCGCTATATAACAGTGGACAACATAATAATCATTAAAGATTCAGGAAATCTATGGTACAATGACTGACTATCAATCAAGTCCCGGATCTTCTCCACCTGGTCCATCCGGTTACCTCCTACAGCCAGTGTAGGTTACTGGGGATCAAACCCACGAAGATCCGGGTTAGAATTGTCTTCAGCAACCCATGCTTGTCGTAAGAGGTGACTAATGGGATCGGGTGGTCAGGCTCACTGACTTGAGTGAGACATGTTATCGTATCCCAACTGCGTAGATGGATGCTCATGCTGTCAATCACTGGATTGTCTGGTCCAGACTCGATTATTTACAGACCGCTGCCATATAGCTGGTATATTGCTGAGTGCACTAAACTAAACTCATCCACTCCCTACTGGGGACCAATTCTAACCTGGAATACCTGCCGAGCTCAGCCAGGTAAATCCCAGAGACAAACAATATATGGGCATTTAAAAAAAGGCTTCAAGATGAGTTCAGTATTTGCCTAGATGCAAAAGCCTTCAATTTCTGGACAATGTCTTGTCCTTATATGTTAACCAACCAACATCACTAAGGGCTAGACTAAAACCAAATATTTATAGACACTTCACCCAGTGCTTGCATCCAACACAGAAAATCTTTTACTCATTTTTATTTAGTTTATAGCTTTCTTCTTGCAGCAAATATATCTTCAATAATATAATGATGTAAAATGTGTTGAAAATGATGTGACGCTGCACTGTTTTGTTTCACAATGATAGAGTGAGTTGGGTTTTACTCCACTTTTAGCAATATTCCAGCCATATCACGGGGGGGGACACCAGAAATGGGCTTCACACATCGTACTCATGTGGGGAATCAAACCCGGGTCTTCGGCGTGATGAGCGTGATTTGTTACAAAGAGTTACTTCCCTTTTAAAACTCATACATCATATTATTACTACTTCAACAATTAGGCAACAGATACAGTGGAAGGTAAAATTTTGGTTTGGTAGATCCAGTTAATAAGTATGACTAAAACAATGCTCAACTACAGAACTGAACAGTTGCAATGTCTGTCATATCCATTGGTAAAACACATATAGAAGATAGGGACATGAAGCCATGACAAGCCAGCCATCATGAATCACAAAAATACATAGGATGCATTCTTGTAATAAATAGATACATGTACTGAATTGTTAATCCTATTCCCTCAGAAGTTTAGTGGTCATACACCTCCCTGTTTGAGGATATGACAAACCTTCCTTTAGGGTCAGATGACCTGTCTAACCAGCTGGTCAGTGACAAGTGTTCTAAATCCTTGACAGGAACAGCATTTCTCATTTCTAGGGCTCCAACAATTTGTGTCAATTCATCGAAAATCGAATCTGACACCTTAGTTTCGATATTTGATAACCATTACCACTATTTTGATTCGATATTTGAATACCTATTTAAATTATTTGCACACAGCCTGAACGTAATTTTGACTCCAACTCGAGTAGTTTTGAGCGCTGAAATAAGGCGAAAGGTGATTGACACCGGGCTAATAATCCAATGTGAATTGTTGTTAGTAGACATCGCCAAGTTGACGATGGATTTCACACTAAACAAGCCGACACTGAGAGTTAAATGAAATCTGATGTTTTACTTGTATGAAGGATCCAATATCGAAAATCGAATCGAATTGAGGTCTGGGTGAATCAATGCAGCCCTACTCATTTCTGTATCATGAAAAGAACATGAATGGGCAAATCTGAATGGAAATAAGTAAATAATGATATTTTACACACTGTAATTCATGTCACTTCCATGGCATGTACACCACAACTGAGTACTAATGAGCAAATACTTGTGTTCAGTTTGTGTTTTATTTTGTTCATCTCAGAAACGAGGTGGTAAAGAAATGAAAGTGAATTATTTTTGAGAACTGACACGTGATTGACTCACACTCACATCCGTCACTGGGAAAGGCAGAGTTCACTCAGCTGCCACAACCTCCTGGGGAGATCTAGCTAAATCATACATACATATAATGTGTTGGAGTAAACTGGCAGTCTGTCAACAGTTACCTCCCTTTGATGTACATTCACATCATTGAACTATTGTGTATTCCTGTTTTAGCTGAATAAGGATGGGAGAAAAACCAACATAAACAGACACAAGAGTAAAACATTATGCATTTTGAATCTTAATAAAGCATTATTTAAGCACATTTTCCATATTTCAACCCTTATCCAAGCTCTCAATGTAGGGCCTCCGCAGACAACCCTTATCCAAGCTCTCAATGATGCGGCCTCTCCCAAGCTCTCAATGATGCGGCCTCCAGACAACCCTCCCAAGCTCTCAATGATGCGGCCTCCGTAGACAACAACCCTCCCAAGCTCTCAATGATCGGCCTCCACAGAAGCCTCCTCACTGATGCGGCCTCCAACCCTCCCAAGCTCTCAATGATGCGGCCTCCACAGACAACCCTCCCAAGCTCTGCAACAACAGTTTGTTAAGTAATTTAACTCACCAGTTTGTGTCACTAAGTACATTGAGGGCCTCGTCCAGATTTTCATCAGATACAACACCATCATATGTCACTAAGGCTTCATACAACTTGTTGGCTGTAGACTTCCGTACCTGGGTCAGACAGATATAGAGATGGTGATCAGCTGAAGATGTATACAAGAAGCTGAAGACATTAATTCAGGATCAAAACTAAAAAGCAAAATATTTCCTGTGTAGTCAATGTATTTTCTCATATATGAAGCTTAAAATCAGCAGAACAGGATGCTGTTGTACAAAACTACCTTAGTGCAATGACTGTTGTTAATGTCTGGGAGTTACGATCAAACGTTTGTGCTGTGATTGGTTTGTTCTTTAACGCCACTCTCAGCGATATTCCAGCTATATGGCGGCAGTCTGTAAATAATCGAGTCTGCACCAGGCAATCCAGTGATCATCAGCATGAGCATTGATCTACACAACTGGTTGTGCTAAGAAAATCGACTGACTGACTGAGTTTGGTTTTACGCCGCTTTTATCAATATTCCAGCAACATCACGGCGGGGGACACCAGAAATGGGCTTCACACATTGTACCCATGTGGGGATTCGAACCCGGGTCTTCGGCGTGACGAGCCAACGCTTTAACCATTAGGCCACACCACCTCCCCCCTTTGTACGACACCCAGATGGGCAGATGATGGTTATAGACCTGCTTCTAGCAACACTGTTTTAACACTATAGCAGTGGGCACAAACAAACAATAGGCATACCCACAGTGAACCAGTCATAGGTCATCAGCAGGACATGCCGCCTACAGCTCTACCACTAGACTATCCCACCATAACTTGACCACAAACATTTTAATGATTTTTTTCCCCCATTGTGTGATACTTACTCTTGGGTATCTGTGACAAAGGAGCATGGCAAGGTTTAGCAACACCTTTTTCCGGTTGTCCCCTGAGAATTCCAGAAGCCCACAGTACCTGCAGTGGAAAAATACAATCCTAGTGAGACTGACCACAGAATTTTCATGGGACATGAAACTTGAGGATTCATCTTTGTGTAGTGATTTTGTTTGAAACTTGCCTGTGTTTACCTAGGGGACAGGTTCCCATTTGGATGAAGGCTGATCAAATTATATTGGTTGTGCACAAACTAGGGAGTTCAGAAATGCATACTGATACTAATGCAATGGTGTAAATGCAGCAATATGAACATACATTAGTATGGTGCATGTGTTACAGCTTTCAATGTATGCCACAATGCCCAAGCTAAGCAACAGTCTAACATAAACTAGAAATATAACTCTGTTCTGAGTGAGTGAGTGAGTGAGTGAGTGAGTGAGTGAGTTGTGAGTGAGTGAGTGAGTGAGTGAGAGTGATGGAGGGATGGATGGAGGGATGGATGGAGGGAGTGATATCCAACTTCCTTCTGGTGAGAAAGCACCAAATGACGTGGCTGCCACTTCTGTTGTGAAGCACTGGGCAGGAGCATGGTGCAGACACACCAAGGATCACAACAATCAGGGCACAGCTGGAACGTGAACCACCTCAGGCTGAGGGAGTCATAGCATATCGTCACACATTAAACAAACAACCATCCATGCCTCATGCCTCTATGGAATATATTTGAAACTGGCAACTTACACATCAGCTCCTGCCATCAACTTGTTGGGGTCTCCACTGCGAGCTAATTCCTTCTTCACCAGTTCTGTCATGTCAAGCGGGAAGGGATGTCTGCAGAGAGATGAAATAACATGAATCTTAACTCCACCCCAATTATCCAGTGTATTACATCTGTGTTATGATAAACACTCACCACCATTCAGTATCTTTGCACAGATTTTCTCTCGCTCAAGACTGTCATTTGAATGGATATCTGAACAAACCTATGGCACCATTGGCAGTGAATGGCTCCCTAGTGGATATACAATACACTGCACTAGAAGTTAATCGTAAGCGTTACATCATAAAGTAGGAAACAAGTTTAGGAGTTTGGTTATCCAATAGTCATTGTAATTGAAGCCCCATGTAAAGATTACTCCAGATTGATGACATTGTTTGCAAAAAATGTTCTTTTTATCATTGAAACTAAACTTTTTATCACCGAACCACAACAAATAGCCATCAGTTCTCTGCCTACCAACATTATTATAAAGCATGGGATGATCCAAGAATTAATGGTACCATTTTTAAAATAGAAAGATCCTGTACTGACCCTTCTGTGTTTGTGAAGGAGGAGAAACAGCCCTTGGACAGCATCTGGTCAATCATCTTCAGTAGAGGCACCGACACCCTGAAGGAAGACATCATGCCAAGTTTCACATTCACTATGTACCATCCTTGACTTCACAATATCCAGGACTACTACAGGCATTTTATTCATTTCATTTCTTTCTGATTCCTAACTTTCATTCACCTGTTAAAGGAGTAAGAATACAATCTGAAATGTTGTGTTCCTCATATGGCAGAAGCTGTAATCCATAACTTTCCCCATTATGTGTATCTGTTCTAAATGCCTTTTAAAGACTTTCTTTGGGGAAGTTGAGAGATTTCCATCAATTAAGTACCACCACACATTTCTTCCTCACATATTCAGCACAAAGAAGGGATATTCTATAGGTGAGTTAAAGTCAAATCTGCAATGAAAGATTCAAAATAAAACACAGTACTGTTTAAATTCAACTTGGTATTTAGAAGTCTCTGAACAGTATTTCTGTGGTAGGACATCTACAGATGTTCCAGCAATATCACGGCGGACACCGGAAAGGGGTGTCACATATTCGACCCATGCGAGGAACTGTACCCAGGTCTTCGGCGTGACGAGCGAACGCCTTCACCACTTGGTTACCCCACCCCTAGCACTCAAGACATATCTAATGTACCTGTCTACTTTCTGGAAGTCCTTGAAGATCTGTACAAGAGTCTCCACAAACTTCTCCATTTGTTCGCCCTCGTAGTTGTGGCCCCTCAGATAGTTGTACATTGAACTGCTGGAGTGCTTCACCTTCAATACAAAGAAATACAGTCAGTCACTCATTCAGTGAGTTGGTCGGCAGGTTCGTTGATGCTTAGAAACAGTTCCTCAGTTGTATGACAGTTGGGTGACAGTCTCAGTTGTATCACAACACCTCACTTGTATGACTCTGTGAGTTACCCAACGCTGATAGCCATCCCTAGTAACACACTGTGGCAACAGGACCATCTACCAAAGACTCTGTGAGTCCACCAACGCTGACTGCCATCCCTAGTAACACACTGTGGCAACAGGACCACCTACCAAAGACTCTGTGAGTCCACCAACGCTGATAGCCATCCCTAGCTAACACACTGTAGCAACAGGACCACCTACCAAAGACTCTGTGAGTCCACCAACGCTGATAGCCATCCCTAGTAACACACTGTAACAACAGGACCACCTACCAAAGACTCTGTGAGTCCACCAACGCTGATAGCCATCCCTAGTAACACACTGTAACAACAGGACCACCTACCAAAGACTCTGTGAGTCCACCAACGCTGATAGCCATCCCTAGCAACACACTGTAGCAACAGGACCACCTACCAAAGACTCTGTGAGTCCACCAACGCTGATAGCCATCCCTAGTAACACACTGTAGCAACAGGACCACCTACCAAAGACTCTGTGAGTCCACCAACGCTGATAGCCATCCCTAGTAACACACTGTAACAACAGGACCACCTACCAAAGACTCTGTGAGTCCACCAACACTGACAGCCATCCCTAGTAACACACTGTAGCGGTATGCTGGTAGGTTGAGTAGCTCTACAAATCTGGGAAATGTCTCAAATGGGGATGCCCAGTTGACAGAGCTTGCTCCGAACCTGAATATAAGACATAAGACAATTACATACAAATATAGTGTCTTAACTGAACTCATGATATGCAATATTACACCTAGTTTACACTGTGTTGTGTTCTATGTCAGTGACTGGAGGTTGCTACCAGTTTGTGGAGGCAAGTCAATTTATCAATGTTAAGGAAATTATCAGGCCCTTTAATTGCAAGCTCAGTAATAATTGTTGTTTAACATCAATACCTTTTAACCTGGAGGGATAAGGAACTTTGCATAAGCCTCTATTTTCTATTGCTACTGTGCAATATTGGTGTTATGTGCAAACTTAATAGATAAACTTATGGCAATTGTCAATCCTCCTTATATTTGACTTGCAGTTTCAAGGTAAGGAAAGAAAAGTTCAAACATGCATAACTCTAGCTCTAATTGAACTGACTTGAAAACTGTTTCCAACAATATTCCAACTAACTCACAGATGCTGTAAATAATAACCAAGCATACTAGTGGTCAATAGCATGAAGACCTTCTCATGACATCATTCTTGTATAAGCCTGATCATCCCCTTCTCAGTAGAATTCTACTGAGAATCAGAATCATAAAACATGGAGGCTGAACAATGTGCCAAATACGATAAGACCATGAAATACGTCAGATAAATGTATACCTACTGGCGATTTTCTTCATCTGTTAGGACTTTACCCCATATGAGCTCCATCTTATTCTGCATCAATTCTCGATGGTTGTTATTAGCCATTCTGCACAAGGAATAGAGGAATACTTCTCAAACAACTCACACAAGCATGGACATGATGACATTATGAAAGATTTATGTTGGTTATCACAACCACCTGTTTGCACTCTAAGGCAATATTTTCATACTCCATTGGCATGTGGATCAAATGTTTCACAAAAGTATACCTCAGTGAGAATTCACTACAATACATTTGTTACATGCGTCAAAATTTGAACATACATGATTTAATTAGCTGAACATTCATGTTCTGAGTCTCGCTTGAGATGACATGATACAATATGAATCATGATACCAACTGATACTGACAATACCACTGTATCACAATACACAACAAATAGTAAGAAACTAGGAAATCGCTGAAACACTATGTGTGCTTCTTTGGCTGCACACATTTCACGACCCTTTCTTCTGTTTACGAAAAATGTTCAAACCGAAATGTTTCCCAAATGATGATGCTTGACAGTAGGATCCTTTAACGCATGTAACAGTATAACGATCTATACTGAAACATCACTTCATAACAAAGAAGTTGTCATCCATACTTTGCTGGCTTTACTGTTACTCACAAACTTCTAAAATGCCAATCGAACAGTGAGTGAGTGAGTTTGGTTTTACGCCGCTTTTAGCAATATTCCAGCAATATCACGGCTGGGGATACCAGAAATGAGCTTCACACATTGTACCCATGTGGGGAATTGAACCCGGGTCTTCGGCGTGACGAGCGAAAGCTTTAACAATCAGGTTCCCCTACCGCCCTGCCAATCAAACAGATATGTCAACAATAATAACTTCACAGACAGCTTATTTAATCATTAACACATAAGTAGAACAACAGGAATCAGCGACATCATTCAGTGCAATATATCAACACAAGCCCCACCCCTTCTATTATCAACCAATCAGGAAACAGTAGTCTGTTAGCAGGAGGGGCCAATTGTTTCTGGGTTCATGGAAATAATAATGCCAAAGCAACTGCTTCACTAACAAATCAAATGCTAGAGAATCACTTGCACTGTATTTAATCAAGTGTGTGAGTGAGTTAAAGTTTTACATTGCATCAGCTTATTCGGTCTACTCCCATTTGTGAGAACTCGCAATTGTGAGACTCCCAGTTATGAGACAGTGGAGTAGGTAATTAACAAAGAAAACACACCATACTCCCCTGTCTGATAGAATGGATTAACCCTAGCTAATTACTGATTTGCTATGTAACTGAATCTTGTGGAAGTCTTAATGAAACTTACTAAGATAAATTAATTAACATACTCAGGTAAATGTCTTTAAAACTGAAACACTTTGTGTAGGTAACTTCGTGATCATTTGAAAGAGAAATTCATTTACCTACTCAGATTTACTCCATCTCCGAAACTACAAGATATAGTTTAAGAAATAACTCTGAATTACAAGTTTGCAGTCGAACTGCCTCTTTTGCCAAATCCTTTTTACCCGGCACTACCAGTTATAACCTGGATACCATTTTGAATGGGAACAAAGAATTTACTCCTTGTGTAAACCAGAAAATAGTTGAATCCGTCCACGATTATATCATCAAGACACAACGCTTCAAATTTTCTCAAGAAAATACTTAAATTAACTCAACAACCTTCTCATGATTGATTTATATTCCTACAATAGCTTGTTAGACACACACAACTGAAACTCTCTAATTATGACTACTTAGAGAATAGTTGTATTTGATGTAATCTGTATATATTTATATGTACTTAAAAATATATTATGCAATAGTCAATATCGATGACGTCACATCCTCCATTTCATTTTGTATTTTATGTTGCATGGGCGCGGTGTTAACATAAGCAGTAATGCTTGTTCACCAATCCCAATTCATTTTCATAAAATAATAAAATATGTTTAAACCAAAATGACTTTCAAACTTCATAATAGTCAATAACAAAGTGTTATCATAATTACATATTCTTCTGAATAAATAAAATATTGAATGAAGTATTTCTTCTGTGTAAATATAATCTTTGATAATCTATTTCATTAATCTACTCATCAATGACTATACTCTTCAACAACATGGCTGATCCCACTTTCATTGTAGGGATGTGGAAACACCACCTATGTGCACCGAACCATTAATTAATGTGTCTCACAACTGGGAATTCTCACAAATGGGAGGACATCGCTTATTCAATCAAGACTGAAGGGCATACACTAAGATCAGTGTTACCAGTTAAAGCAGCAAAATAATCATATACCTACAGATCCCTGACAGATGTGCATCCACACCATGAAGGGATTAAGTTATTATCTCTAGTAGCCAATTACGTCTTTTTACTGATCTTAGCACGACACATACAGGGACTTCAATGTTGACTTGTTTGATGATACTAATGTATTCCCTCCTATGTCTTAACACCTGTCAGTTAATACAATAGACAGTATTCTTTGGACAGAGTGAGTGAGTATGGTTTTAAGCCCTTTTAGCATTGTTCCAGCAATATTATTGCCATGGGCTTCATACATCCCTTGGACAGACAATGGATACTCATCACCAATACAATGAATTACTTACGGATTAAATATATTGTCCAGGTTTTCTTTATGGGGAATGTGAGGTAGTGGTGGTCTGAAAAAGAGAATAAACAAATATAAACTATTCACATCATATCCTTGTTTCATGGGTCTGGGGATGGTTTAGGGATGATTTTGGGCTTCTCACTGGTCACATGAACAACTGAAAAATATTTCCCAAAATAAAACACATCTTCGTCTTAAAGGTCACATAAACCCTAGGGGGTAAAAATACATAAATCACTAACTGGCATCGTTATAAATGCAACCCGTCATTAAAACTACTCATTTCGACCTTTAATTGACTTAAATCGACCTTTTTGACAACAGTGCACAATTCTCACCCGCGAACGAAATTTCAACCAATCAGAGCGGCGCGACTCTGTGACGTCATATAAGGAATAGCTTTGAGGGCCGATGCAGAATTCATCTACATTTTAGGGGGTAAATTATCTTGTTTACAGGCTTGTATAAACCTGAAATCGTGACAATTGTTGTGGAAAATGAAAGCTATATGTTCTCACAATCTACTGGCATTTAATTTTGTCTCCTGCTTTGCCTAGTTTCGAGTTACAACTTGTTTTCATAGGCGATTCTGTCAAAATCGATTGGTGTCGTTAGGCCCTATTTGTATAATGACTGATCCAAATTGATCCCATTTCTGTGTTTTTTACCTCGATATTTAATCATGTCATGTCAAAATCTGTTTGTATTCTCAAAACAGTGTCGGCCCATAAGTTTTCACATGCAATACAGCAATTAATACTCCCTTGTTGTAACCCGTGTTAGGTGGTATAAACCTACACATGTTATTTGTCATCATTCACTTGATGGTCAGTTAATGAATTTATAACAGGTATAATTAGTGGTAACACACTTAGATTACCGACAAAGGTTCCCATTTGGCATTTCTTGTGTCTGGAGTAAATATTCAACATTATAAACATCGATCAAAGGATTAACCGATAACAGCTGATTGATTAATTACTTTTATCTTACACAGCGGAATTGTCAAAGGTAGTGTTTATGTATGTAGATTTACTAATCTATACTGAATACACTCTGCCGTGTCGGTGTCTGCGTAAAAACAACGTCCTTCTTTCAAAGGATTAACCCGGCAATACATTGATTGATTGCCCATTATTGGCTAACTAAATTACTGTTTTTTAATGAAAGGCGGACATTATGCAATTAGTTGCCAGGTGTGCTATCTTGGGTGACCAATGAGACTATACACCAATACCTGAAAAGATTTATCACTTTTTTCAGTATATTAAACTGTTAAAAGACACATCATTTGGAACAGTTTTGTGGATATTGATGGATACATTCCTCAAACAAGGTAATGGCCTGATATTGTTCCTATAACTTTAATCTGTTTTAATTTTAATATTTGCATTTTGTTTTTATTCATTTTTGTCGTAGCATTCAACAGAATCATTGTTTTCGCCGTGAAGTGTAATGAGACAGACAACATACACTAGGGTGTGTGTGCGAATTATGATTCACATTGGCAAACTATAAAATGTCTAGATATTACAGTTCTGTTATAAATTCACTATAAGTATCAGCAGATCGTCAGCTTTTTATTTAGTTTCAAAATGCATAAAAGTATGATAATAAACTAATTAGGATTATAAGACCAAATATAAAGGCGCACATTGACTAGTATCTACATACTGGTGAGTGGACATTAACCATGTGAATGTAGCAAGAAATTTATCGCGCAGTATTGTGACTTGACCCCCACCTGGCTTCCGTGGAAGAAATCGTTATGTTATAAGTTGTGTCATGCAAAATCCTTTTGGTTATGATTCCAATACATATTTAACTTCTGAGTAGAAAGTAGTTTTGATTTTCTAACTTGATGAAAACAAACTATAATCTCATTAATTCTAACAGACTTTCACGATTTTCAAAATGGAAGCCCTGTCGGGAACATCCAGCCAGTCTGTGGATAAATGCTATTTAGGTTTGTTTTCACCGAGTTACAAAATCAAAACTACTTTCTACTGGTAGTAAAATATATATATTTTATTGATAGCCAATAGGATTTTGCATGACATAGCGTATAACATAACAATTTCTCTCCTGGCAGCGAGGTGGGTAATCAATATAATACTACTTACAATATTATTGTTACTTGACCACAACCTCACTTCCGAGGAAGAAATCGTTATGTTACAAGTTGTGTTATGGAAAATCTTTATGGTCATCAATCATATACATATTTTACTATAACTAGTAAGTAGTTTTGATTCTTTAACTTCCGTGAAGCGATCTGAACACAAGTAAGATATCGTTTCAGGCTTCCACAACGCGCTTCGCCGCACTCACAAACATAACCCATTTAGCTTACGAACTGCGGGTCCTGTGGAAATCTGTGCATGGTGACACCATCACCCGACCCTAGGAGCAATTGGCGACAAAGCAGCGATTGGCATGTCGCGTCGTTCATGTCGAGAAATCATCAAAATGATGGCGTGCTACACACTTTCTATACAACTAACTGAAAATCGTTCCTCATATGGCGTCACTGCAGTGCTCTGGCGACAGAGTTACGTAACCTGTCTGTGGTTTTAGTTGGTTGGCGAGAGGGAAGCAGGCGACTTTTGGCCACTTTTAATCATTTCGGTATTAATTAACCACAAGTTTTAAAGAATAAATTTGGTGTTCCGCATAAGACTAACCACAAATCTTTCATATGTAATGGTTAAAGAGTAACAAAAACAAAGTTTAGTGGTTCTTTAAACATCCTGAGTTAGCTCCCTTTAAATTATCTCCCCTTCATTTCTATAACAACAGAATCAGAATGTGCTCTAAAAGTGCCAAATATACTTTTGTTTCTTTTCTGTTTCATGTAACATTTTACAAGTGGAAATGTTTTTATAAGTGGCTGCAAAAGTGCCAAATATTCTACCAAATGCTTTAAGTTTTGGGGTTTGAACGGTTTCATATGTGACGTTTTGGAGGAATTAAGTGGCCTCAAATAGACCAATCTTTTACGAAAAGCAAGATTTATGGATGTCAACTTATTGTTGTGAATAACACAACGTTTCGGAGTGTATGCTTGCTCCTTTCGCAGGTCATGAATATTCACAATAAAAAGGCTGACATCGCTAAAACTTGCTTTTCTTATGCATTCCACTTCTAAATGCCCTTAAAAAATTTGACAAATTTTTTATTTGGATTTATAAGTAGAACTACTGGCTCTGGGTTACCATTTCACGATTCACATTATTTTGTTATTTTTGTTTCATAATGGGACATATGTTATCAATTTATGATAAAGGCCAAAGTCTTATAAATTGTGTAGGGCTGTATAATGACAATCTAGTGAAGGATCTTAGTTATTGGAGGTCACATGGGATTTTAAGCTCATGTAGGTCATCTAAATCATGTTTTGTTTCATTTTACAACAGTTCATGTTAACACATGTTTATATTGGAGCTGAATCTGAATGAATCACTGACAAACAGTAACAATAATTACATACTGCATTGAAGAGCATTCTGTTGAAGCAAACAACACTGACCATGAAAATCATGTTATAGTATTACCTTTATCATTATGTATGAAAACTTTGTTGCAATACAGTTACTTTAATTAAACATTCCACATTAAGGCTCCATATCATTTATCTGTACACCACTGGCATACACCCATACACAATGGGGACAGGAAGCCTGAACATAAGATGAAGTGCACACCGAGAGCTATTATGAATTTATGATGTACATACTTGGACAGAAACCTTCCAGTTAATATATCACAATATGTATTGTAATATCTCTTGAATTATTGCAATATACCGCAATATGAGAATCAGGGCAATATACAGCCCTAGTAGTTTGCATGACAAACGTGGTGTATTTCATCAACTAAAGAAAGGGAGAATCACAGCAATCTTCAATCTTTGGAGACAATGAATTAATCTGGGGCTAACTGATGAGGAGTGAAGTGGGAATAAATATCTAACCATTAGTTTATGGCAACGTGTAAAGAATTTGAAAATACTGTTGAACAGAAACATTCAGTGATTGATAAGGGTTTCAAAGTCACATAGACACACACTAACAAGTACACCTGATAGCTCGTCTGTAAAGCCCTCCTTCACTGTAAACATATTCTTAATGGACAAAGTGTAAGTGAACAAGGTCTAGTGTCCTTGTCTGGAGCATGTCAGTTAAGATAGTCTTGAATGTGACAAAGAGGTCTGAAGAAGTAAGACATACTTGTGACACAGCAGGTCGATGAAGGCAGAGCCAGCTACTGCTCTGGTTCTGTCAATCTTCTCACAAGCCTGCTGGATGAGGCAGCAGAATACCTTCTCACATCTGTAACATGGAACATATCACTGTCTGCTGTGCAGAATTTGTTTTCATGATCTAGTTAGGATTTGCATCAAATGGTGATGATAGATTCATTGTTTAGCATGTGTGAGGTATAGTCAGCAATATTCAAGTTACATGACAAATGAATAATCGAGTCAACGCAGCACAATCCAGTGACTGACATCATGAGCACTGATCAATGTAACTGGGATATAATGACATGAACATACCAAGTCACTGAGTCTGATACCTGTCGTCACCTACTGGCTGGGGTGCCATATTCTCACATGGTTGGTTGGTTGCTTTTAAAGCCGCCCTCAATATTCCAGCTATATGGCGCCAGTCTGTAAATATTTCAGTCTGGACCAGACAATCCAGTGATCAACAGCATGAACATCGATCTAAGCAATTAAGATACAATGACATGTCAACCAAGTCAGCGAACCTGACCACCTAATCCGGATCTTCACGGGACTATTGTCACGTGGAATCCAAATGGGTTTGTGATAGTTGGACGTGTTGAAGGAAGAGTGCTGTTATAAGAGGGAGATGAACAATATTCAATTTTATCACAGTGAGTCTGGCCAATGCAACAGAAAAAAGGGCATACTATTACCACTTGGATGAAAGCACTGCTGGCCAGGATCTGCGAACAAGGGGTGTAGATGCTGGCCAGCAGTGGCCATTTTCTTTCATAGGGAGTAATAAGCTGATGCCAATTGTAGGTAGGGAGCAACCTTTGATTCTTGAAAATTAAATAACTGAAATATGGATTAAACTTTGGCTAACCCAAACTCACTACCTTACTCAAACAACATACAAAGCATAACAGAAGGATTACGTACACACTTGGCGTGATGAGCTGAGGGTCTGCCTTGACCGCCAGGGACATAAGGACCACTAGTCCCACCATACTGGCCTCTCGTACCCTGGGGACACAAAACAACATTTACACAACGAAGCACTCAGTGGCTTTTAAAGGTATTCATCCTTTACAAGTATTTGTAGTTAATATTGTCTGTATATATTGTTAATATTGTCTGTATATATTGTTAATATTGTCTGTATATATTGTTAATATTGTCTGTATATATTGTTAATATTGTTCACAGGGTTTTACACAGACTTTTTAAAATGGGAGTCATGGTGACTCACATATGTATTTTTGGGAGTAATTTTCAATGTTTGGGAGTCATTAAAATTTAATATTTCTTTATGTTAATCATTCTCAGTATGTAACTGTGTATGTCACACCACCAAATGAAACTACAGCATTGTTCAATTCAAACAGCCAGGATTACTGTCTCCTCGGAGTACACTGGAACAATCTGACAGCTCTGTAAAAGTCAAACTATCATCGAACAATATGTTTTTTGCTTATCAAATCGATTTTATTGAACTGAATTGTGAGGACCACCCATAAAACATGCGTCAAGCTTGACTCTTATGATAATATTTTTGGGGTTGGTCAGTCAAACTACTTGCCGTCAAATACGCAGGAATCACGCATCATGTAAAACCCTGTGTTCCTGCAGAGGTTTCCATCAAACAACACTATCTCTATTCCAGAGCAGGAAATGCCTACCAGGATCCGACATCTCCCCGAGAGTCGAGGGTGTAGTCCTTCATGGCGGCCAGCAGGGCGTTGAACACCGTGCTGATGTTGTCTGGACAGATACAGGAGGATGGACCCCCAGTCGGGATCACACCCACTGTCTTCACGATGCTGAAATCAGGTATGATATGATTATTAACTGTCGTAACACAGCCAGTAATATTTTGGAACATTTTCCCACATAAAGCAGAGTGAGAAAGTGATATCAGGCAACAGCAGTTACTGAATAGCAATACAGTGATCAATTCCATCAGATTACACTGTCAATACAGACTATCCTTTGAGAAGTGTTACAAATGCTACAATTCTGATCTGGTCTATATTACACTGTATACAGGATATAGGTCTATATTACACTGTATACAGGATATAGGTCTATATTACACTGTATACAGGATATAGGTCTATATTACACTGTATACAGGATATAGGTCTTTATTACCCACGTGGTCAACGTATGGGTAGTTGCATACTAATATCGTACATCACACGAGTGTCGTATCGCGTTGACCTGTGTCGTAACGACTTGACCTGAGATTCTAACGATTTGATTGGATAACCGATGACCTCTCAATTAGGTCACATTCTGACGTAACTATTTTTTCATTCATAACAAACACGTGAATTCATTCATTCTACAACTTAAATGCATTGTGGGAATGTAAACATTGCGAACGTTGCCGTGTCGCTGTTTAATTGTGAGTCGAACTGAGACATTATATCTGTCGAAAAATATATACGCAATGTTTCCACCAGTGATGTTAAATAATGAAGCAACTGGAAACCAAGAAACGAGGTGCAACGGAGTAGTTTACTGTAGGAGGCTGTAATGAGGCGCATGACAACTGACATGCATCGTGACATCGGTTACCATGGCAGTGACGCCATTAGTGTGACGCCATGCAAATATTGTACTACAGTACAAAACTCTGCTGCAACCTCTTTATGAAACCGGGTTTCGGGTTTGAAACCAAAACCATAACAAAAATACGCTTATTTTGTCAATTTAAATGCATGTAAGACGGGTAATAAATAAAATACCATTGACTGTTCATTTACATACGAATTATACGAACTTGGATCTTCCTATGTTATCTGATTCCTCGCCGCCGGGTCAGATACCATAGGAAGGACACTCGTTTCGTATAATTCGTATGTAATGAGACCTCGTGTAGTATTCTCTATATATCCTGTATACAGTGTAATATAGACCTATATCCTGTATACAGTGTAATATAGACCTATGTCCTGTATACAGTGTAATATAAAGAGAATACTACACGAGAATACTACAATTTCAGGTCAAGTCGTTACGACACAGGTCAACGCGATACGACACTCGTGTGACGTACAAGATTAATATGCAACTACCCATACGTTGACCACGGGGGTAATAAAGGTCTATATTACACTGTATACAGGACATAGGTCTATATTACACTGTAAACAGGATATAGGTCTATATTAAACTGTATACAGGACATAGGTCTATATTTAAGAATTGAATGTCAGTTTGTGTGTTTGCACTGAAAATGAACGATGTCAAAGCTGCTGTTCAAATTGTGAACGAGCGAAGCCACGAAGCGAAGTTCACGCCGAGAGTTTGAACAACGCTTTGACATCGTTCATTTTTCAGTGCAAACACACACAAACTGACATTCAATTCTTATAATTTCAAGACTTTGAAGTTTACACATACGCTTTCCACCTACTTGTAGATGATCATTGTTTAGTGTGTTTTAATACCTGTAAAATGTTGTAATGCCATTTGGTTCAAGAACGTACGATTATTGCAGCCATGTTTGTATACACAGCCATTTTATTTTTACACATGTATCCCAACCCTTGAAGAAATAGTTCTCAAAGTATTCGATCTTTAAAATATAACAACAAATTCGTTATGAGGTTTGAAACTGCTTTAATAAGTATAATCAATAACAGTATCAAACAGAAACAAATATCAGAAGCAATAACAATACCATTTTAACAAACTGGCATTGTACCTTTTCACTTGTAAATACCTTGTTTGACCGCTGTAATAATACACTGACCGACTTCAAGTTAAAGCGGGCGGGCTAATAGGAAACAGATCTTGTTGTATTCTATTTATTTGTGACTGTTTATTGTGAAATTTTTGAGCAGTTGTTAAACAGACCTCGGGCAGAAAACCGGATGAACCCGCAAACTGCAAGACATTAAACTCCTGTGAAAAGGAACAATGTTCGGCAATCCATTTGGTAGTGACATTGCCAAACTTGGGGTGACTTGAAACAGGTTCGTTCGCGAAATTGGTATCACCAATTATTGGGGGTCCTTGAAACCGAAGCTAAAAACGTTCACACACGTATGAACGGTGTTTACACAAGTATGAACGATCAGAGGGGTTCAAGAGTAATGAACCTTGAAATTTAGATCACATGACCGCTCTCTCAACCAACCAACGTTCGGGAATCTGTGTAAACTTGAAAGCACGAAATTATTACACTGTATACAGGATATAGGTCTATATTACACTGTATACAGGATATAGGTCTATATTACACTGTATACAGGATATAGGTCTATATTACACTGTATACAGGATATAGGTCTATATTAAACTGTATACAGGACATAGGTCTATATTACACTGTATACAGGATATAGGTCTATATTACACTGTATACAGGATATAGGTTATATTACACTGTATACAGGATATAGGTCTATATTACACTGTATACAGGATATAGGTCTATATTACACTGTATACAGGACATAGGTCTATATTACACTGTATACAGGATATAGGTCTATATTACACTGTATACAGGACATAGGTCTATATTACACTGTATACAGGACATAGGTCTATATTACACTGTATACAGGATATAAGTCTATATTACACTGTATACAGGATATAGGTCTATATTACACTGTATACAGGATATAGGTCTATATTACACTGTATACAGGACATAGGTCTATATTACACTGTATACAGGACATAGGTCTATCTTACACAGTATACAGGATATAGGTCTATATTACACTGTATACAGGATATAGGTCTATATTCCACTGTATACAGGATATAGGGCTATATTACACTGTATACAGGATATAGGTCTATATTACACTGTATACAGGATATAGGTCTAAATTACACTGTATACAGGATATAGGTCTATATTACACTGTATACACCATGTATTTACAGAATGCTCAGGGGTCAAGTGTTCAACGTGAGTGGTCCTGCTTTTGGAGTAAAAACAATTTGTCACATCAAACTAGTCCGCAGATCTTTCCAGAAAAGTGGTTGTAAATAATAACTAGCCTTTAAGAGAAAACAACTAGTTTATTTCGCTTTTCACCCCCATCCATAAATAATGAACGGTCCCTAAGGACCTATTTCAGGAGTGTACAAAACCAAACATATCATCCTAGACTAGTTGCTGAAGTTGCGGACTGTGTAATATCACTGACCTAGTGATGGCCTTCACTGCATCTCTGCGTGCCTCAGCCATGTGGACCACGTTCTCCTTGATGCTGGACGCATGCACCAACCCCATGAGGACTTCCATCAGCTTTCCTCCAACATGAACTGGGGGAACCCCCCTAGTGCTAGACTGTGTCCCATCCTGTAAACACAAGCCACTTGTACCTACTGCAGTGTTAGCTGATATACAGAATTAACCGACCCCATGAAGACTTCCATCAGCTTCCCCTCCAACATGAACTGGGGGAACCCCCCTAGTGCTAGACTGTGTCCCATCCTGTAAACACAAGCCACTTGTACCTACTGTAGTGTTAGCTGACATACAGAATTAACCATTTGGATGTAGCCCATATAGCTGTTTGAACAACTTTCATTATGTTAGTTGTGGGTTTAGAAAGGATGTAAACATAAAGGTGACATACAAATACAGTACTGCATCCATTCATCATACTAGGAAAATATACGACTCAAAATTAGTTTAAGTAAACCCAATTCCAACCTGTTACTAAAGTTTTTTTTGCCATGGCAGTATAACTTCCACAAATACATGATTCAAAGTTGGATGACAATTCACTACCTGGATATTTCATTTGATGAATTCAGCTCTTTCAAGTACTTCTCCACAACAGCATCTGGAAACATCATCAATGTAAATAATTTACCTGAGAAGCAGAATGGAAAGACAGTCGATTATTGCAAAAGCTCAGCTGAGAGAGTGAGTTAGTGAAGTTTAATGTATGTGTGAAAAGTATTTCAATTATACCACAGCGTGTCGGCTTACGGTATTGTCTGTTTACAACATATATATATAGAGGATATTATAGTGCCCATATCATATGATGTTTATGACACGAGTGACAAAATGTTGGTATTTCCTGAGTGAGAGCGAGGGATATACCGATATTTAGGCACAAGTGTCGTAAACATAGTATGATATGGGCAGAATATAATATTCTGTTTATTACCAAAGTTGTCAAATTGAGGAAAATAAACCAAAATCTACTTTCAAACATAGGTTGACTACCCGCCGTTGCCGCATGTAGAACGCAACGTCACAGAAGAAATGTGATGTCATAGCATGGTTCATGACATCATGTCACCATGACAAAGTGATATTTTGCCCTAGGGCTTCGAATGGAAAATATGAACCCCGATATTTTTGCCCTCGTAGGTAATAAAAACTCTTTTCATCAGGATGCCCTGTTTTAGTGAGATTACTGTTAAACATGTGTAAGCAGATGCAGGGGAAACTACTCTGTACCAAAGAGTTGGTAACCTGCAAAACTTATACAAACCTGTAGAGGTTATGAATTCTTTGAAGAAAGTCCTCCTTGGGGTACATATAAGCATTAAAATGTCCATTTTAAATCACACGACAGTTTTAAAAATATTTTTCAATCAAATATTTACAAAACAAAAACTCGTTTTGTCTTGTGAGACCACCCCTACAGCCCAATCCTTAGAATGCGTGTCATGTCGGTAATGGCAAATGAAGGCATTCTGCCGGCTCCAAAGAGCGACAGAACCGATCTCTTCATTGAGCAGTGCCGCTGTGTATTGCCAACAAAGCAGCATCTGCCCAACCCAGTCTGCCTTCAACCCCTCGGGGGAAGGTAAACCTTAGTATTGTAACCGAACAATATGGGAAACAAGCCAACGAGATAAAGTCCGCTTGCTAGCAGACTCCCCAGTCTTCCCGCCACCAAACAGAACACATGGGTACCCGTACAGATTCCTTTTGTTCGTTATAGTCACTCCAATGGGTGAGCAATCGAAAGATCGGTCCCCGGTGGGGAAGGTTGGGTAAGGGGTGGAAGTTCGATTTGAGCAGTCACGTGGAAAGCAATATCGAACTGAGAGTGGTAGGTATCCGGGAGGCGAATACGGACATGAACAGTATAAATACTGTCAGTGTCGGGTCAGTGGGTATCGCATGGATGTACCCGACCCTTCTACCAGAGCTCACCACCACAAGTAAAGCTGTCTTCCACGTCAACAAGTGAAGCGAGAGAGACGATATACTTGAAAAGTCAGGGCCAGACAGCCAATTGAGAATAATTGGCAATTTCAAGGTGGGCTGGGTAGCCGCCGAGGCAGTCGAACCCTGTTTATGCCAGCTGCGAAGCGCTGTACGAGAGTGTGCTGCCTGGGCAGAGCACCATCGAATGAGGTGTGAAAGGTGGAAATAGCCATGGAGTACCCGGCAATGGTGGAGGTCATAAGGCTCTCAACCAACACGAGGTTATAGTAACTCCAATATCCGAACTAAATCCGCAGAATAGGGATTATGAAATCCCCCTATCTGCACACCAGCACGCCCCACCTGTCAACACACTGAACGGATGTCGAATCCCGCCTCAAAACCAGAATTGTGTCTGCAAAGGGCTGCAGGACTTCCGCATGTCTGGGAATTAGACCCGACAGAGACCAAGCCACCCAGTGAATCCGAGGATTCTGTCGGGCACCCCGTTCAGAGTGAGAATGTCTGGCCCGAAAAGGTAATTCGAATCCCGGCGTGCGGGATCGAACACCAACCTGACTGCTGTCAATTCCAGCACATTGATGTGCAGGTTGTGACTTTGTCGTCAAGAGACCGCAGGTCGCCCAGAACATCGCCCCAACCCGGTAGGGATGTATCTGGCTGGATTGAGAGCGACGGTGTCTCCAGGAGGAGCCCCTTGGAGAGACGCCTGACGTCTGTCCATCTGACTGCGTGCGGTTGACAATTCGGCCCAGTTTCGTAAGAGTGACCAACACTGATCGTGAGGTTCCAAGACTCAACTGTTATTCTAAAACCCCGATGAGACAGTCGCCTAGGTACAGGTGACAACACCGGCACTGCTATCTGGCTATCTGGGCTGTAATAAACCTCAATTTGGTGAACACACTTGGCACCGTAATGTAGCCTAAGGGGAGCACACAAAACTGGTAGCACGTCACGTCGAAGAAGAACCGAGGGTAAATCTTAAAATCAGGGTGCAATGGATCAAGGAGGTACGCGACCTCGAGGTCGATTGACGTGCGCCAATCCCCTGTCTCGACAGATGAGATCACCGAGCGCGGTGTCTCCATCTTGAAGGACAGTACCTCTATTAACTTGTTCAGCTCTCAGATGAGAATGAGTCTGAACATTCTGTTCTTATGGGGGCGGTGGGGTAGCCTAGTGGTTAAAGCGTTGGCTCGTCACGCCAAAGGCCCGGGTTCGATTCCCCACATGGGTACAATTTGTGAAGCCCATTTCAGGTGTCCCCCGTCGTGATATTGCTGGAATATTGCTAAAACGGCGTAAAACCATACTCAGTCAGTCAGTCAGTCAGTTCTTATGGCAACAAGGTAATAAATGGAGTCACACCCCACATTTTCCTGACCATTGGAAACCACCTTGATGGTTGCCTTTCCCAGCAGAGACTGGATCTCGGCACGTAGTATTTTCGCCGTCTCCCAGGGAGCCAACACTGGCGTGTCACACTTCTACTGGGATTTGTGGCAGAATACAGTAAACCCCTGCAGTCGGCAACAAAACGTTTGCCGGTGCCTGGGCACCTGAAGAATTAACGAGAAGCTCGACAGACCTCCGTATTCCTCGAAACAGTCCTGGGCGCCATAGGCCCATAACCGCCCTCATCATTTGGCTGGCACAGCTACAATGCAGTCCCTAGCCAGATGAGAGTTGACCCCCGGACCCCCTATAGCCAAGAGCAGGTAACTCTTGCCGTCTACCTCGTATCTCACTTTTCATGCTGAACATATCAGAATGAGGGGAGGTGGGTGGCTGTACCCCAAGGAGGACTTTCTTCAAAGAATTCATAACCTCTACAGAGTTGTATAATTCTTTTTCAGAAGAAGACCTCCTTGGGGTACATATAAGCAGACTTCCAAAGATATTTGAGACGGGAGTGGCATTCTGTCTGGCAACAACTAAACCCGTGGTGGAGTGAAATCTACAACCGATACGGAAATAGAAAAAAAACACTTACCGAGCCACCTGACCGCTGATGTCAATCAGGCAGGGGCGTGGCTAGGGCGGGAACTAGAGAGCCCAAGCTTATAGGTCAATTGGCTCAAATCAATTGGCATAAAACCCTACCCCCAACCATTACAATGGAAAGGAATGTATGGGGACATGCCGAAACAACTGCAAACCTTAATAGCCCGAACCAGAGAAGCGTGGTGAGAGGTATAAGGGTAGGTAAAGTGAAAAAAAAACGCTTAAAAGCCAAAATCCCAGGAGTCGAGCTAATAAGTACTGCAAACTAATGTTCGAATGCACCCCTCTTGTTTTGAAGAGGGCTTGTCGGGACCTCGATAAAACCCAGAGAAATTATTAGCCTCGCTAAAAACCTTCTGAGAAAATCGAACGAGTACAAACGCCATGCATTGTACGAGTGAAAAGCAGGATAAAACACCCCCACCAAATGTTCTCGGTGTGAGGAGGGTAAATGTAAACCACGATCACCTAAAGTGCTGATTAACACAGACTCACAATTCACTAAGTCTTGGGAAGGGGGAGAAATCTATTTGCGTACAAAAATCCCATGAATAGCGTAAAGCGTAGCCAAAAATGTGTTGACTCACTATTTCACTAACCTGGTCACGTGACATGCGGCTCGAAAAGAGGCATACCAAACAGTGACCCGTAGGGGGTTCGTACCCAATTCCGTCGCAAGACGGGTTAATAGCATATGACTGGTTATAGCGTTCAAACTCGGCCCCGCCCTCTCTTGCCTTTAAGTGAAAAGGACATAAGGGACGTATGTACACCCAAACCCGAAAGGGTAGTATGGCTTATATGATGTAGTGATATGAACACAGAACCAATACCAATGACCAGTTACTAACTTGGTCAGGGTGGCAGGACACTCTCCACTACGAGCACGATCCTTAGAATGCGTGTCATGTCGGTAATGGCAAATGAAGGCACTGGATCTCGGCACGTAGTATTTTCGCCATCTCCCGGGACCTCCGTATTCCTCGAAACAGTCCCGGGCGCCATAGGCCCATAACCACCCTTATCATTTTGCTGGCACGGCTACAATGCAGTCCCTAGCCAGATGAGAGTTGACCTCCATCAGATGCCACCCGACGATGAAAAATCACCAGCACTCTTTCCCCTTTCCACCAGCTCCCTCAGCAGAGCTGAGAGATGCGCTGAGTGGAGCATACAGCGTTGAGCTGTTAAGGGGAAAGAACGGCAGACTGACGGTAGAGTGTGAGGCCCTGTCCCTGATGCCTTGCTGGAAGCAGGCTTCTCTCCGGGAGGCGAACTCCAACGGTTCGGGCATTCGACGTGGACAACACCTGACACAACACAGCAGCGATTCTATCTCGCACTTGCCTCAGAGACGAACCTACTCAGTGTTAAGTTCAAAGTAGCAAAAAGAGACAAAGCTTAAATCGACTTGTCCACTGTATCAGCCTGAACCCCAGTTCCGAGGCACATGGGAGAAGCCTGATAAATCAAGGCACTAAGACAGACCTCGGAGCGGTGAGGTGACCGACACACCCGGCATACTCAATAGCTTCTTGGTCAAGGCGTTGATAGACATCAGGCGGAGATCTTAACTAATCTGCACCCTACTAGTGCCGAAGCCCGGGTCGGTGCTACTCACGGGGTTCAAAGCATCCATAGAGCCGAAGCTTGGCGGTTCTAGACCGAACCCCGATCCCAAGACACGTAGGAGTAGCCTGATAAATCAGGGTTCTCCCAGTACCATCTCCAAAAGAGCACTGAGCATATAGTCAAACATAGCCTATAGCGTTATATAAATACCCATACATATACACATATATATATAAGTGCTCGGGTCAGCGGTTCAAGTGATCTGGGATCTGTGCCGTATCAGTGCTGAAGCCCGGGTCGGTGCTAGTCCCCAAGGTTCAGAGAGTCCGAACCCCAGTCCCGAGACACACGGATGTAGCCTCGCAGTGCAGGGTTCCCCTGGTGTACACGGGTAGACCTTGGAGCCTCGAGGTGATCGGCAGCTCGGTAGCTCTGTCACACTCAACAGCCTCCTGCCCTGGGCATTAAGACATCAGGCTGAGACCTGAGCTACCGGCGCCGGGCTCTGCGTCCGTACCAGTGCCGAAGCCTGGGTTGGTGCTAGTTCCCAGGTTCAGAGCCGAAGCTTGGGTCGATCGTCCCTGGGAGGTCAGACCCTTCACGGAGCAAGAGCTCGAGTCGAGACCTCCCCCAAATGATGCGCCGGTGTAATCTCTACCCGTGTAGACCGGGTACCAATCTCCTCTCGGAGTCTGGAAACCACGTCTGAGATAAGAGCGTGCACCGACAATCTCCGCTGCTTCTATAAGTAAGAAATCAATCGTTAGTGTAGCAACATTGTTTGTGGGGGAGGAGTAGGCGGGGGGACAATAAAGGGATTTCCTTAGAAACCTTTCATCAAATATTATCCCCTGCCATAAGCAGATTAGTGAAAAACATAAAATCTGCGTGCCTGAAAGAATGCTCATGATGCGCAGAAAGCCAGGCAAAAAACACAACCTCGGCCACTATGAGCCACGTTGTGTGTAAACGTATGAAATGTGCATATGTGTAACATAATATCATATAATAAGAATATCATATAATATGCAAACATAATATATGAACTCCCTACTACAAGCTACCAAGAACATGTAGCAAGGAAACCACAATCGCGCAGTCCGCCATTTTGCCTGCCACAAGGCTGGAAAACAGAGAACCCATGGCAAAGTTACAACAAATGATGAATGAGAATATCAACAAATGACGTCCATCTAACGCCCGTGTGTAAAGAAAGGAACCATACATACAGATTGAGACTCTTTTATACTCATCATATCGGTAGGAGAGCAAACTCGAAACGAACACCACGCACGTCAATTCAACAGAACGACAGCATGAAAAGTGAGGTACAAGGTAGACGGCGAGAGTTACCTGCTCTTGGCTGTAGGGGGTCCGGTGAGGCCCTGTAGGGGTGGTCTCACAAGACAAAGTTTTTGTTTTGTAAATATTTTATCGAAAATTATAGTTACAACTGTCGTGGGATTTAAAATGGACATTTTAATGCTTACATGTACACCCAAGGAGGACTTCTTCTGAAAAAGAATGTAAACCTGGACAATCTTAGCCTCCCATTTATTACTCATGCCATTTGTGTCCCACCGTAACACAATGTTGGATCTAGGCAGAACAACCCAACCCAACCCAAGTAAAGGTTGGAATATCTGGGAATATCTGAGAATTTGTTTTTTAAATAACATAAGTGGTTTTGCTTCATCATATGATGACGATTGATTATCTGCTGTCTAACTGCATTATCATGATGAAAAATATGATACAAAATGATGGACCCACATTATAAGACTTTTGTCAGTAATGTCTCTGAATCTCTCTTATCATTAACTTAACGTAACTAAAGGACTTTTCCATATTTAAAAATGTAATGTGATTAAACAGCAATAATTAGCATTAAATCATTTGAATTGGCCCTTAGTACAAAGCTATTGCATTCATCACAAATGTGCAGAGAAATAATCAAGAACTTATGGTTGGGGGGGTTTGATGATCTTGGGGGGGCACCCACTTTGTTCTGGGGAGGTAGGGGGGTCATCAATTTTGTACATAAAAATATTTTTAAAATAGGCTTAGGAATTATGGGAAGGGAGAGGGGGGTTTCATTGATATTGTACATGACATGCAGGGGGGTCACTTTGTACATGAATTTTAGGTGGGGTCATTCATATTGTACATGCTTTTCCATAAACATCGGGGCGGTGGGGTAGCCTAGTGGTTAAAGCGTTGCCTCGTCACACTGAAGACCAGGACTCGAATCCCCACATGGGTACAATGTGTGAAGCCCATTTCTGGTGTCCCCTGCCGTGATGTTGCTGGAATATTGCTAAAAGCGGCGTAAAACCAAACTCAGTCAGTCAGTCAGTTTATAAAAATCATCATCACACCCCACACACGCCACCCCATCCCCAACCCCCATAAATTAACAACAGTCCCCAATCAAGGTCCATTTTGTCAGGATTTGTTCATAACATCATAATGATTCTGCAAAATCATATTTGATAGCATATCTTCCTACTTTGTCTCTTGGTGTCCAGTTTACCATCAGCATCTCGGCAGTACTCTGTGTAGAAAGCTGGGGCTGCTCCAATGGAAGCTTGCTGTGGAGGTACACAAACAAAGTCTATGAATACTTAATAACAAACACTAATTATTCATCATCAAACTCAACTCTCCATAAATATAGGAATAGTTAACAACACACTATAATCAGTTGACATCAAATATGCAAACAAATAATCTTCAGGAAACATGATTTGTTTATTCCTTCAACTGACCTGGATTTCTGTCTCATTGTGAAACAGACAGTCATCTAGAATTTCTTGCCATACATCTGTAAAGAGAAAACAGCACCATTATTGTACTGCCATTGTGCAGTCTTATTGACAAGCCAATGTCATGTCATACAATTAATCTAAATAGTTTCACTTGAAACAGTACCATTCATATTAATTGGGTCTCACTGTAGATTAGAGATATACCGAGAGAAAGAAATAAATGATCACAGGAAAATTTATACAAACCTGTAGAGGTTATGAATTCTTTGAAGAAAAGTCCTCCTTGGGGTACATATAAGCATTAAAATGTCCATTTTAAAAACCTACGACAGTTGTAACAATATTTCAATAAAATATTTTACCAAACAAAAACTCGTTTTGTTTAGTGAGACCACCCCTACAGGGCCCCGCACAGGGCCCCGCACAGGGCCCCCCTACAGCCAAGAGCAGGTAACTCTGGCTGCGTACCTCGTACCTCACTTTTCATGCTGAACGTGTCAGACAGAATGAGGGGAGGTGGGCGGCCGTACCCCAAGGAGGACTTTTCTTCAAAGAATTCATAACCTCTACAGGTTTGTATAATTATTTTTCAGAAGAAGTCCTCCTTGGGGTACATATAAGCATAAGACAGACTCCCAACGATGTTGAGTCGGGAGCGGTATTCTGTCTGGCTAACATACCCCCTAGTTCAGTCGAAGGCACAGCCGAAGCCGCGACAGAGAGAGAAAATACACTTACCTAGTCACCTGACCGCCGATGTCAATCAGGCGGGGGCGTGGCAAGGCGGGGGAAAAAGGAGCCTAGCCGATAGGCTATTGGTGGAATTTGTAAAGACGGACGTAAGTCCCACCCCCCAACCATCAAAATGGGAGGGAATGTATGGACGAGTCCAAGATATATCACTCAGAAACCCAAACCAGCGAGGCGTGGTGCAGGGATGAAAACAGTGAATATAGCGTGTGATATGCCTTCGATGTCGCCACTGCCCTAATCGAATGAGCCTTTAACCCCTGAGGGATAGTTAACCCTTTGTGAGAGTAACTCATACAAATGGCAGAGACAAGCCACCTAGATATGGTCTGCTTGTTCACCAGAAGACCAGCCTTACCACCGCCATAACAACAGAACAGCTGCTTATCTTTCCTGAGAGCAGCCGTTCGTTTGATATAAGCCTTGAGAGTCTTACGGACATCCAAGATGTGAGCACGTCGAAGAGAGGTACCGGACGATGGAGGCTGAATGAAAGCTGGCAGTTCAACAGGCGCCGTCACATGAAAGGCGCCTGCAACCTTAGGACGGTAAGAGTCTGGCAACTGAATACTGACTCTGTCTTTGTGAAAGACAGTCAGAGCAGGATCCGCCGACATCGCATGGATATCGCCTACCCGCCTGCCAGACGTTACCGCCACAAGAAAGGCAGCTTTCAACTTAACAGCTGGAGTGAAAGAGACGACAGATCGTGAAAGAGGGGACCGGACATCCAATCAAGAACGATTGACAAGTCCCATGGGGACTAATCCGCCGGACAGTCGGACGGATTCTGTCCACACCTGCTAAAAAGCGCTGTACTAGAGGGTGCTGCCCCAAGAGAGCACCGTCGGCAGGAATATGGAAGGCAGAGATTGCGTGGAGTAGCCCCGGATAGTAGACGCGGCTAAGCCGGCTTCTAACCAAGACTGTAAGAACTCCAGTACTTCAACTACAGTTGAAGAAAAGGGATCAAGAATCCCCTCTGCCGACACACCAGCGCATATAACAGGCCCATCTATCCTCATATTGAACGTTTGTCGAATCCCTCCGCGAAGCCAGAATTGTGTCTGCAACTGGTGCAGGAATTCCGCTCGCTTGGAGGCGATTCCGGACAGAGGCCAGGCCACCCACTGAATCCTGGGATTCGGCTGCGGCGCTCCGTTCTGGGATAGTAAGTCCGGTCGAAAGGGTAATAGTACAGGAGGCTGAGCCAGAAACCTGAGTAGTACCGGAAACCAGCTTTGAGCCGACCAAAGAGGCGCAAGGAGCACAAGAAGTCGAGCTGGTTGGGTGGCAAGCTGCGAGAGGACTTTGGGAATCAGGGGTAGTGGCAGGAACGCCCACAGGAACGCCCACAGAGTCCAGTCGAGCTGGAAAGCGTCCTGGGCGATAGCTCTCGGATCCGGTATCCAAGAGCAAAACACCGGAATCTGGTTCGTCCCCCCAGAAGCAAACAGATCCACCTGGAACGATCCGAACAACTGGGAGATAGCCCCGAATATCTCCCGATTGAGCATCCACTCGTGCGGGGCCAGGATACGACGAGAGAGTGCATCTGCTCGAACGTTGTCCGCCCCTGGGAGATAAACAGGCATTACCCGTATGTCGAACCGTCGCACCAGAGCAGAAACTGCCACGCCTCCTGCAGGAGAGACGGGGAAACCGTACCGCCCTGATATAGGTCATCGCCGTCTGGTTGTCCATCTCTAGACGAACCACACGGCCTCGAACCTGCTCCCGAAGTCGTTCGAACACCAACCTGACTGCTCTCAATTCTAGCACATTGATGTGCAGTTGTGTCTCGCTCTGTGACCACAGGCCTGAGACCGACAGGACGCCCAGCACCATCCCCCCACCCTGTGAGGGAGGCGTCTGTCTGAATCGAGAGATCTGGCGACGGGATGTCCAAAGGGAGCCCCCTGGATAAATTCCCTGCCAGTGTCCACCACCGTAAATGAGGAATTAGCCACCCTGGAGTGTGGAGAATCAACTCGTACCCCCGGGTGTGGACCCACATTCGAGCTAGAGCCATGCTGAATGGGTGCATCCTCAAGTTCTCGCCAAACAATGTCCACTTGTTGCGCCATGTTGCCTAGCAACTGGAGCCAAATCCGAGCTGAGCCCAACTTGAAAATGTAACACAACTCTCTGGACTTTGGTCATCACAGGGAGAAAGTGTCTCGAATCTCGGCTCCTAAGAACTCACCAGATCCTGGGTGGGAACCAGTTCTGATTTCTTGAGATTGATAATCCAGCCCAACTTGGTGAGTATACTCATCACAGAAAGTGTCGCAACTCGACTCAAGTGAGAGGCAAGCACACGAAGGAGCCAATCGCCTAGGTACAGGTGACAGCACCTGCCCTGTGACCTGGCTACCGGCGCTGGAATTAGCATGAGTTTGGTGAACACCCGTGGCGCTGTGGAGATGCCGAAGGGGAGTACACGAAACTGATAGCACCTCCCGTCAAAGGAAAACCTTAGGTATTTCCTGAACTCGGGGTGCATAGGGACATGGAAGTACGCGTCTTTGAGGTCGATTGATGTGAGCCAATCTCCCTTCTCCACAGGAACGAAATCACTGAACACAGTGTTTCCATCTTGAAGGACGGTACTTCTAACATGTCGTTCAGACCTTTGAGGTTTAGAATAGGTCTGAACCCTCCGTCCTTTTTGGTGACATGGAAATAAGTTGAGTAATAACCCACCATTTCCTGTCCCATTGGAACCATCTCTATGGGTGCCTTGTCCAGTAATGACTGGACCTTGGCACGGAGCACCTCCGGCCTTCTCTAGGGCAGCCGGCACTGGAGTGCAACGGATCCCGGAGAAGGGGGGTGGGTCTCGCTTCCACTGTGGCATGTGGCCTTCCCTGAGCGTGGACAGGACCCAGGGATTGGAAGTGACTTTTTCCCATTCCGACAGGAAGAGAGAAAGTCGACCACCCACAGGGATATGTGGCATGAGACAATGGGTACCCAACGTCGGCAGTACTCCGACTGCTTGGTCTGGTACCAACAAGGGCTCCGGAGGAATTATAGCTGGGAAGCCGGGGCTTACTTCCCCTTCCTCTGAAAAGGCTGGTGGGGCGCCGTGGCCCTGCCCTTGCCCCTGCCTCTGCCCCTACCCCTCCGTGACTGCAATGGCTGAGCCCATTTAACAGATTCCTTCACCGCGGCAGAAGGATATGCGGAGGTAGGAACCGGGGGTCGCTCGCGAGACATGTGAGGCTGTTCCAACAAGGGCTTAGAGTCCTTGAAAGTTGATACAGCCTCTGCGGCCTCCCGGACTACTGTAGCTGCCCCGGGGAACAGGGTAGAACCCATCCGGAACAGCAGCGCCAGTAGAGCCTGTTGCGTGGCAGGAGAATACCTTGCCATTGAAAGCCACAGGCAACGGAGACCCATTACCGCCGACATCATTTGGCAAGCCGACGACCTGATGGAGTCGTACGCCAGATGTGATTGGACCTCCATCAATTGCTTTGCCAAGGTGGAGGGAGACAAATCTTCCTCCACCCCACCCACATCCAGTAGTTGCCTCTGCAACACCGAGATGTAGGCGGAATGTAAAGTAACCTTGAGGCACTGAACCGCCCTGGGAGGCGAAACTCCTGAGGGTCGGGTGCGCCAGCACTGACAACTACCTGAGGCAGGACAGAGGCAATACGCTCCCGTACCTGTCTCAGGGACGATCCGAGTGAAACCGAAGGTGTACCCAACCCTCCCCGACCCTCATCCTCCTCCATAGCCTCCTCGAATCGATCCTCAAGGAGTGAGGTCTCTGTAACCAGAGAGAGCTCTGAGGGATCATCAGAGGGGTCTACAGAGAGGGACAAAGGCTCGAGCAGAGCTGAGTTGCCCGGCACACCCGACCCAAGACTCGAAACTGAGTCGCGGTGGCGGGACGAGGAAGAGCCCGTGCAGGGATTCCCCAATGGCAAGCAAAATGATCCCGACACCGAATGGCCTGGCAAAGCCGGCGCAATTGGTGGGACCAAATGCGATGATGTAGCGGATACTACAGGGACTGAGCCTGTAAAACCGGTACGAACTACTGAACCAGTCCCAGAGCCAAGGCTTGGGCTGGTGGTAGTCCCTACAGCGGAGGGGTGGCCAGCAACCGAGATGAGACTCGGAGCCGACACATCCCCGACAGAAACCCCCACACCAGAGCCTAAGCTAAGGTTGGGGGTACTGCCCGCCATAGATCCGCGACACCCCCCCGTACCTGGCCGGACGCCAATCTCCTCACGGAGACCGGCCATCGCGTCAGCAGACACAAGAGAGTGGACCGAAACCATTTGCTGCTGCAATAAATCCGAGATTAATTCAAATGTTAGCGTGTTAGAAACCGGGACATGAGGGGGTGAAGGTGCCTGCGATGTGGAGGGGATGGATGGTGAAGGGACCGACGGCCCCGCACCCTTCGCCCATTTAGGAGCAGTGTCCCCCGAAACAGAGGAAGCAGAAGCCTTCTTTTTCTTAGGCTTTTTATCTTTGTTTTCCTTAGGAGGCTCCTGTCCCCAAATGTCCCCCCCCGCGCCTGAAGTAACGACGTGTAGAACATCATATCTGCACGTCTAGATTTGCTAGTACGCGGGGAGAAAGCCTGACACATGGAACAGCCTTGTTCTTCATGTGCTTCCTCAGCCAAACAACGCAAGCATACCAGGTGACGATCCTGAGGCGACAATGTAGCTGCAAAAAACAGAACCACGCTATGACTAAAAGCAAGGACTGTTTGATATAATGTAATATGCACACAATAAAAACAGAAAAAATACAACACACGGGCGATATTTAACTGCTACAGCAAAGCTATTAAATACTAGCATAAAGCCACAATAGCGAAGCGTAATTGTGTACATAGCTGACAAAGAGCAAGATATGTGAGCGACACGTAAACAAACGCGCCACAAAATCACTCAAGCAAAACTTACCCAAAGCTGCTGAAAAAGAGGAATTTAGGCAAGCATAATGTACATAATGAAATATCAGCACCCTTACAACCCGACTACAAGGCTATAGAAGCCAGCAGAAGGGATAGCAAAAAAGGACCTCCGCGGTCCGCCATCTTGCCTGCCACATGGCTGGAGACAGCGAACATGCCGGCAAGGTTACAACAAATCATGAATGAAAAAAGTCATACGAAGATTCCAGCTAGCACCCGTGCGAAAAAGAAGGAACCATACAAACAGGATTTGACTCTTTCTCACTCATTCTCAATCGTAGTACTTCGCGAAGACGTGTTTTCCTGGACCATGCACGACCTACACGGTCAACGACAGCATGAAAAGTGAGGTACGAGGTACACAGCCAGAGTTACCTGCTCTTGGCTGTAGGGGACCCTGTGCGGGGCCCTGTAGGGGTGGTCTCACTAAACAAAACGAGTTTTTGTTTGGTAAAATATTTTACTGAAATATTGTTACAACTGTCGTAAGTTTTTAAAATGGACATTTTAATGCTTATATGTACCCCAAGGAGGAAATTCTTCTGAAAAAGAATCAAGCCTTCCTTTATTATTTTCCAGTTTTCATCACCACAGCGCTATTCAAAGCTGGTGATGAAAACTGGAAAATATTAAAGGAACCCTTAAATTTTCTTGTGATCCTTTATTTCTTTCTCTCAGTATACACTGAGCATGGTATTACTGTCAGTCATTTGTTCAGACTGAGGTGTTCATGGTATATGATAAATTACTGTATTCTTGATATCCATGAAGACAGAATGAGGGAGACAGTACCGATTATTGGTTGCCCGTGATATGGCATCTTGGATTCTGCAAGTTTCTGGATAAGATGACAGACTGTGAAATAATACAAATTGTGATAAGTAGTCAATAAAACAATACATTTCAATATATATATATATGATTTTCGTTATAAGTTATTCAACTTTTTCACTTTTCATTTGAGAATTTGCAATTTGTAAAATTGTCCTACAGTAGCATTTGGTAACTAAGTCTGCTGATGTCCTCGCTCTTTCAGGTCAGCATAACTTTTATATCAAAGCATTATTAGTCATACTTTATTCTTTTCTCTAACATGTTGCCATGGATACTGACCTGCTTTCCTCATGAGTTCTCCTCCCAGACCCCGAAACAGTTGAGAATCTCGCAGCTGGAAACAGAAATACAAGCAACTCTCAGCCAGTTCAATGGTCTAAACAGTGAGTGTCTGGCCAGAAACTATGACACCACTGAAATTCTGACAATTCAATGCCTGATGCATGGCCTTCAGTGGAATGTTGAACTTCAGAAATTGGTGATAATTTGTTGAATGTTTTTAAATCATTAATACACTAACATACACAAATAGATATTTATTTTATACATGAATGTTCAACCAGTATGTGGTTAAAACATGTGAACAGGTCAAATGCTATTAATTATACATTCATTTGTTTGTTGACTGTAAATTCCAGCTGTATGGCGGCAGTCTGTAAATAATGGAGTCTCAACCTGTTAATATGGTGAGAAATAGTATGTATAATATAATAAAACTAAAGTAATATGCAAAATGGCAAAGCAGTTGGCAAGTGCACCCAATGTAAATAATTCCACACTTATTTTCATTTGGACAGTTATATCAAATATAATAGATTTTAAAAACCAGTATCTCAAAAAGTGACTCTCAATAGACTATCGATCAGCCTAAACACAGTGTATAAAATAGTTTTGAAATATTTTTATACAATATTTCTATAGCGCTCATATCCAGGCAACTAGTGCTTGCTCAAGGCGCTGGTATGTTTTCCCTCGATCATTGGATGTCAATCTCAACGGCACAACGTATTATCAATCTCAACGCCCTGGGGAGTATACAACTCTTGCAGCCACTAGGCGCACCGAGTTATTGTGGTTTTCTCATCCTAACGGGGTACCCATTCACAGCTGGTCCCAGTACTTTGTCCACGTTCACTGCACGTTGCTGTACCCGCAACTAGGTGTTTGCACGTATTCATGTGGCCACCATCTGGTCATATACCAACGGATTCGTGGGTTCTTTTAAGTGCACAGGGTTGTGTACTGTACACTAGGGGTTGTGACAACACTAAAAGAGTCTGCACACAAAGTTGACTCCAAGGTTTTTACACCCGGTCAGAGGTGGGCTCGATCCCGACACCTCAACCTCGCTGGATCACTAGCCTGGCGCCTTAGCCAGCTGTCCAAAAGAGTGACCAGTCCTGAACAAACACTGTCAGTCCAAAAACTAAAACTCTTGATTCAAACCAAGTTAAGTTTATTTTTTTCAGATATTTTCCCTGACCAAAGGATGGCATTACTCATTTAATAGACTGTCCTTCACAAAAATAGACCGTCAAGGACGGTGGGACAGGCTATATTTTATACACTGCTAAACACAGTATAGTATACAGTGGAAACCGCCTAAGTAAAGACCGCTTAACTAAACAGACCTGATAAGTAAACACTTTTCCTTGGTCCCGGCAAATTTCTTCATTAATTATCACTATTAGAGTCCGGTTAACTAAACTCGGATATCCAAGATATTTTTATGGATTAAACTTCTTTTTAATTTCTCACGTTTGAGACCATTCCAGGTCCCTTCATCAGGTGATGAGGGACCTGGAATGGTCTTAAACGCTGTGTGAGAGAAATTAAAAAGAAGTTTAATCCATAAAAATATCCTGGACATCAATGTACAACTTCTAAATGCCACTGAAAGACATAAACTCGGATAAGTAAACAATACCGCTTAACTACACGTCTCTCACGGTCCCTGGAAGTAAGTTACTTAACAAAAGAGACTGGATAACTAAATTAGCGATCACCACATAATCTGACATGAGGGGCAGTCGTGTCAGTCTCCAGTCAAACAAACATCCTACTTACAGCTCGCTGGCGTCAAGCAGTTGACAATACACTCTCAACTGGAGGCCAGCCCTGATAAGTTGTTCATTGTTACATATGTATACATATACATGCATATGGTTGTCACTTGCAGCTTTTGATGAGTTTGGTTAAGTAATCTACTTGATAAGTAAACAATTTTGGCGAGTCTCTTGAAAGTTTACTTATCAGGTTTCCACTGTATTTGAAAACAGCAAATGAAATGACCAGGTTACAGCAACTATACCTTTTTGGCCAGACTCCGCAGTCCTTCTGTAGATGATTCATCTATCATGTCTGAAACAGACCTGTGAAACAAGACACAGGTCCAATGTCAGTACACAAAATGAAGGATATATATACATAGTTATATCACTAACAAGAGTGTGAGGTGGGGTTATCATTGATCTGAACTGTAAAACATGGATTTTTTGTCAGATTAAAGATTTATTCTGGTTAACCCCTTTGCTGACCCTCAGATTCAGATTTACAGAATTTCTATCAACCATGTCAACAAGCTTTAGCTTGATCCATTTGTTTGCTTCTTTAGACCAGCAGCAGCAGTGGAAATTGTAGATCAGAGTACCATTTGAAACGAAGTCTACTTCTTGGATCTGTTTATGGATGTACATGATGCCTGACAAGAAACTATCCATTTAGATACCGTATGAAAGAAACACACTCACTTTCCCTGTGTATGTGCGAACTTCGACAGAGCATGTGTCACTTCTGCAGCTGCCAGGATGGCCCCATGTCTTTGGTACAAGTCTATTCCAGTTGCGTTCTCAATCAAGGCAGGCAACACTGGGGTAGGGACAAGAACATTAATATTAGGTGTGTCATATTTACCCTGTGTCCTTGGTAAAAGTTTTGTCCAGATGTTCTCTATCGAAGTAACTAGACCTGGAGGGAGAAGGTGACTATTTAGCCACTGTTTCACATTCTACCATTTATTCAAGTCATGTATACATGTACGTTTACATGTTCAGATGTCTGTTGGGAATCAAACACACAGACCTGTTTTGGCCACAAACTCCGGTTCTCGTGCTGTGAGATTGTGCAGGGATTTGGATGTCAGCTCTCGTATAGCACTGGAAAAACGCCAATACAAATCCTACAGAGATGTATCGTCAAAGACCTTAGCAATAAAGATGAGCAATGATTTAATTTGCTTCAGTAAGTTACAAACTCATCATGCAATTCAGAATATAGTCACCGACAATATGGTGTCTGCGATCTCAAGTTTTATTTGTTTGTTGTTTAACACTGCACTATTCCAGCTATATGACAACGGTCTGTAAATAATCAAAACTGGACCAGGAAGTCCAGTGCTTCAGGCCATAAGCATCAATCATCAGAACTCAAATACTATTACAAGTGTCATCCAGGTCAGCAAGTTTGACCAGCCAATCCTGTTAGTCACATCTAAAAACACAAGCTTGGTTTGCTGAATATCAATTCTAACCAAGACCTCCACGGGCTTGAACTTAAGTAAGATCTTTCTTTTGTTGTATATGACAAATCTTACCTTATCTCAAATATTAGTATAATTTTGAAATTATCTGTGCTTACTTGTCCCAATGTGCAGACTTGACTTCCGCCAGATGATCTATCAGTGATTTACTGTACTCCTTGAACTGTGCAATATACACGCTGGGGAAAGATATATAAATAAACCATTACATAATGAAGCACTGGCCTTCTTACGGCAAAATTGGATTCAAGACAATCATATCTTATCTGTCATATCTGTATCCTTTCAGGCTCTTTGAACATTAGTATTTACATTTAAGGAGCATAGTCTGAGGTCATACTTCTTTCGGGAAAAGTGAATCTACAATTTAAATTCATAATGACTATACAATGACTGTAAAGATGTCTTCATTCATGACTGACCCAATTCTTATTCATTGCCATTGCACCAATGATATCTGTACAGACTGTAACAGGTCTTGTTATAAAGGGTGATTCCCTGCTGCCTTTACAAAGGAACACTTTTAAACCTATATTCACAATACTTTTCTACCTTGGTAACATATGAACTGGAAGTGCCAACTTTATTTTCCAGTTTAGACTTATCAATGTCTTGTTTAAGGTTCATCATATCAGGAAAATGCTATTGGCACTATTCAATGTTGGACAACTGAAACTGAAAGCTACTGATATTCACATATCCATTTACCATACACAGAAATCGGATGGTATCCTCTCTGTGAAGAAGTTTGCAACAGAGCCATGTCCCTTTGGTCATAAAGTGAAACCTGATTTATTTTGACTGTTGCAGTTTCCATAGAAATCTCCATGATTAACACAGTAAAATCCATTTATTCAGGTGGACATTAACAAAGATGACAGTCCAAGAGATGGGGTCTCTGGTATAAGAGGGTTCAGACTATAAGGGTTTGACTGTCATCAGTATTCTCAGGGAAGTGGGGTGTCCTGACTCAGAAGGTTCTACTGTAGTGGATATAAAGAGTAATTATACCTGAGTTCCAGATAGCAGTAGTTTCTGATGCCAACAGCGAAGTAGTCAGCGGCTGTCAAGATGTCAATACCATGGGGAAATGTGCCCTGAAACACACTGTAGAGAGTGAGCTGGACACACTTCATGTTGATCCTGTGAGTGAGTGAGTTTAGTTTTACTCCTCACTCAGCACTGACTGACTGACTTGAGTTTGGTTTTACGCCGCTTTGTGCAATATTCCAGCAACATCACGGCGGGGGACACCAGAAATGGGCTTCACACATTGTACCCATGTGGGGATTCGAACCCGGGTCTTCGGCGTGGCGAAATAGCGCTTTAACCACTAGGCGCCCTCTCTCAGCAATATTCCAGCTATAAGTTGGCGGTCTGTAAATAATCAAGTCTGGACCAGACAATCCAGTGATCAACAGCATGAGCATCGATCTGCACAATTGGGAACCAATTACATGTGTCAACCAAGTCAGTGAGCCTGACCACCCGATCCCGTTAGTCGCCTCTTACGACAAGCATGGGTTACTGAAGATCAATATTCTAACCCGGACCTTCACAGGTCTGTTGATCCTGGTGTGGCTAATGGAGGCATCTCATGCCAATGTTTTAATATCATTCATCAGTTGTTACTGACTAATCATAAGTGTAATGTCAAGTTGCATCATAAGAGAACAAATTATTAAAATGCATTTCTCTCAAAAGCAAATTTCAAATTTCAAATTTCTAAGACATGATTTTAAATTTAATGCCTTTCCATGGACATTTGAAATTTTAAACCAGACTGCACTGCCAAACTTCATTCCTTATCAAGCTTGTTTTAACCTATAATTAACAAAAATGTCAACCAAAATTTTCAAAAACTGCACCAACCTGACGGCCAACATTCTCCTGGAATGCTGCAGATGCAGCCCTTCGTACATTCACCTCCCGGTCAAACACAGACGCTACCAACAACCCACTGAAAGAAAGTTCACATGTAATCAGAACCAGCTCTGAAGACCATCAGTGCCAATGAATATCATAAGGGCCAAAAATCAGGAAACAAACATTGAAATAATAGCAACAAGAAGACAAAGTCATCAATATCCCCCGTAATGGCAAAATACTCTTCATGAATATGTCCACGAGTTATGATTATGTCAAATGTTTTGGTGTGTATATAGAAAAGTGGAAGGAGAGTATTGAAAGGTTTTAAGAGTTCTGCTCCAGAAAGGTGCACTACCACCAGTTTCTGTCTAAGTCAAACTTGTTGGCATGGAAATGCAGTGATATTTTATTCAGACATCCAAAACTACCAAAAGGCACCAGTACATCACCAGATGTGTGTATGTGCCAAGTTTGGTGAAGAAACATTAAAAGGTTTTAGAGTTCTGCTCCGTAAAAGAGCACTACCACCAATTTCAGTCTAAGACAAACTTGTTGCCATGGAAACGCCAAAAAATATTTTCTTTAAAAATACAAAACTACCAAAATGCACCAGTACACCACCAGACCAATCTATGTGTCAAATTTGGTGAAGAAATGTTGAATGGTTTTAAAGTTCTGCTCTGGAAAAGAACACTACCACCAATTTCACTCAAAGTCAAATTTGTTACCATGGAAACGCCAAAAATATAATAATCAGAAATCCAAAACTACCAAAAGGCACCAGTACACCACCAGACCTATCTATGTGCCAAGTTTGGTGAAGAAATATTGAACGGTTTAAAAGTTCTGTTCCGGAAAAGGCAAATGTGCACGGACAGAGTGCATTTTCTGACTGACTGAGTTTGGTTTTACACAACTACCAAGCAATATTCCAGCAACATCTATGGGGACACCAGAAATGGGTTTCACACATTGTACCCATGTGGGGACGAACCACCGGTTCTTCGAACTTGTTGCCAGGGAAACACTAAAAATATTTTCTTTTGACCACTAGGCTACACCACCAGACCTATCTATGTGTCAAGTTTGGTGAAGTGCATTTTAATACAAATGTGCACCTGCATTTTAATACCCTGCGCATTGTGGGGATAACAAAAAGAGGCAGATAGTCAAATGAGAACTGAACTAGCTCAACACCACTCAGGACAGTGCTTCAGTGAAGTCATGGTGTGTTGCCACTAATGAGAATGGAAAGGCAAATAGACGAAGGTCACAGATGAATACAACATTGGTAAAATCCAGCCATTGATGTTGTACAATAACACGCTATCAACCATGTCTCAAAGCCTGACTGCCAAATTCAATTGGTTGCCTCTTACAACCAGCATTGTTTGTGGGTAATTTTTCAGAATCTCCAAGTGGAAAAGCTATGGTACGGGGTCTGACAGAACCTGGATTGTGAAAAATGCAAAAACTGGATTTTAGTAAAGGAAAGAGAGAAAGCACCCCATAACTATCTATCCTACTGACTTACAGAGTCCAAAACGATTCTTACTTTGCTATTTTGTTGACATATGGACTGATTTCCTGAGGATCGTAAGCCCTGGCGAATGCCCAGTTCACATAACAGGCAGCATCACGGACATGTGCTCCAACAGAGAAGCTTCCACGCCGTTCATCATACGCCAGAGCTCTCAGCACAACAGGAACAACTGAAAATTGTATTTGTTGTAAATGTTGTCATTGCAGTATTCAGATATTTCTTTATTCCCATTCAGAAAAGTAAGTATTAAACAGTAATGAATTTGTATTAGATCTGACTGAAAATAAATCAGAAAATGTTGAATTCTTTACAATATTCACTATCAGTCATGAAGACTGACAAACATATTTTAGTACATTTGCATCAATTACACTAAGAATAAGGACACTGGCATGTTGAAACCAGGAAGGACAAAAACATGACCAAGGAATACTGAAAAGTTCACAAACATATGATGATTGGATGGAAAAACTTCATCAATGGAACTATTTCTAAACTTGCCCTGACAGTAATTATGATCTTGTAAAAACAAGACAAGATAAAATGTGATTGGCTGTTTGGGCTTACTTTAACTGCTGCATAAAACATTGAGAAACATCATATTAATCTTGTAGCATGAAAAACTTGCACTGTTGCTGGGCTATTAAAATCCCCACCCCTGAACAGAAGGAATTAACATTTTTTTTATCAAACTTCAAACTTTTAACATGATGACTTCATATGCAGTAATGTGCTATCCTGTATTCCCACTACACTAACACTGGGATCCCAGAGAGTTTACTGACCGTCTGGGAGTCTTTGGGGCACCAGGAGACCTCTCCGACCTAACTCGGCCAGCGCCAGGCAACCTGAAACAGTCATAGTAGAGTCGTGATGGAACCATTTTCGTATTTCCACTGTATTATCATGCAAGTCCTTCAACTGTTGTTGGGCAGAAGATCTCCTGTCGACCAGAGTTCAACAGATCATGGGATTCCACACATCTGATTCACTTAACACTTCCAGTTCCCTACACTGGGGATAAGATAGAGGTGGTTATCATAATAGTGTGCTGGGACCATCCATTGAGTTCATCACAAGCAGGTATTCAAGATAAAAGTGTTCAACTGAACATGAAACCTCAATCAACTACTCATTTAGAAAAACAGAGATAGTGCTGATTTGAGGATCAAAGCGCCATCAAATTCTCCAAAAACATTGAACAGGGGTCTTAAGACATAATTAATACTACACCTGACCAAATTGGATGACCCTTTGATGCAGTAAATAAATGCAGTAAATATGGAACAAACATAAATATTTCCATGAGAGTTATTTGTAATCGGCACATATTTTTCACAGCATTTCAGCATATGACTTGTCACACACGACAAAAACTTGCTAAGAAACTTATACAAACCAGTACAGGTTATGAATTCTTTGAAGAAAGTCCTCTTTGGGGTACACATAAGCATTAAAATGTCCATTTTAAATACCTACGATAGTAGTAACAATATTTCAATAAAATATTTTACAAAACAAAAAACTTATATAGGGCCCCACAGGGCCCCCTACAGACTCCCAAAGATTGTGAGTCGGGAGTGGCATTCTGTCTGGCTAACATGTACCCATGTTTAATCAAAGTCACAGCCGAAGCCGAGAGTGAGAAAACACACTTACCTAGTCACGTGACTGCTGATGTCAATCAGGCAGGGGCGTGGCAAGGATAGGGTAGAAGGAGCCTAGCTTATATGTTATTGGCGAATTCGTAATGACGGACTTAAGTCCCACCCCAGCCATTAAAATGGAAAGGAATGTGTAAAACAACGCTATGCCCAATAAAACATGTAAAAAACTGCCACCAATAAAATTACCACCACCAATAAAGAACCGTCTGGCCAAACCGAGCAGCTCCCTCGAGTGTTCGTCCAGCTGGTAATGACGGATGACCGTGCTCAGTCACCTCCAAATAGCCGCTGAGCTGATCTCCTCAATGGGCAGGGCCGCGGCATATGCCTTTGATGTGGCCACTGCCCTAACCGAATGAGCTTTTAACCCTTCAGGAATGGTTAACCCTTTGTGAGTATAGCTCATACATATGGCAGAGACAAGCCACCTAGAAATGGTCTGCTTGTTCGCCAGAAGACCAGCCTTACCACCACCTTCCTGATAGCAGCCGTTTGTTTGATATAAGCCTTGAAAGTCTTACGGACATCTAAGAGAGGTACTGGATGATGGAGGCTAAGTGAAAGCTGGTAGCTCAATAGGTGCCGTTATGTGAAAGGCGCCTGCGATCTTGGACGGTAAGAAAAGGGGCGGGTCTTGCTTCCACTGTGGCATGTGGCCATCCCTGAGTTTGGACAGGACCCAGGGATTGGAGGTGACGTTCTCCCATTCCGACAGTAAGAGGGATAGTCAGCCACCCACAGGGATATCGGGCATGAGACAATGAATCCCAGACGTCGGCAGTACTCTGACTGCTTGATCTGGGTCCAACAAGGGCTCTGAAGGAATTACGATTGGGAAGCCGGGCCCGACTTCCCCTTCCTCGGAAAAAGCTGCTGGGGCGCCACAGCCTTGCCCTTGCCTTTACCTTGACGATCCACGACTGCATGGGTTGAGACCACTTGACAGTTTCCTTCGCCAGGGCAGAAAGATAAGCGGAGGCAAGGACCGGGGAAACTGGATGGAACCCATCCGGTATGGCAATGCTAGTAGTGCTTGTTGCGTGGCGGGGGAGTACCACGCAACAGATAGCCAAAGCCGACGGAGTCCCATGACAGCCGACATCATTTGACACGCCGACGACCGAATGGAGTCGCGTGCCAGATGGGACTGGACTTCCGTTAATTGCTTAGCCAATGTAGAGGAAGACGAATCTTCCGCTACCCCACCCACATCCACCAGCTGCCTCTGTAAAACAGATGTACGCTGAGTGAATTGTGACAGCCTGGGCCTGGGCCTTGCTTAGCAGAAGCAAGAGAGCTCCCCGAAGACCCACTCAGGGCGACTGACGCATAGACACAATTGTCGGCCACTGGGGGGTTATAGAGACTGGCCTCACCCATAAGATACCGACGATCCAGTTCAGGTAAATCGATCCTGGACCTGGTACCACTGAGGAGGGGGATTGACCACTTCAGTTTGAACTGAAGGTAAAATACGCAACTTTGTGTCTGCCACCCGAGTGGTAGCGAAAGCCAGAACTGACGACCACCTGAGGCAGGACTGAAGCAATCCGATCACGTACCTGTCTCAGGGACGAACTGAGCGAAACTGATGGTTCACTCGTCCCTCCCCAACCCTCATCCTCCTCCATAGCCTCCTCGTCCCGATCCTCCAGTAGAGAGGTCTGTGTGTCTAGAGAGAGCTCCGAAGGGTCGGATGAGGGCGTTAAGGAAAGAGACAGAGGCTCAAGCAGAGACCGAGGTGCCCGGCACGACCAACCCAAGACCCAAGACCCGAGACTCGTGGCGAGACGATGAGGAAGAGCCCGACAAGGTGGGATTCCCCAAAGGCAGAATGGGTTGGAAGGACACTGAATGGCCCCGGCGGAGCTGGCGCAAGCGGTGGAGCCAAATGCGTAGCGGCACTGGATACCACCGGGACAGAACCTGTGGTACCGGCACCAACCAACAGACCAGACCCAGAGCCGAGGCTCGGACCAGGAGTGGATACAGTAGTGGAGGGGTGGCCTGCAACCGAGTTGGTACTCGTAGCAGGCACACCAACGGCAGAAATTCCCCTACCAGAGCCTAAGCCAAGGTTGGAAATACCGCCCGCCGCAGTAGCTGAACACACCCCAGCACCTGGACCGGACATCGCGTCCGGATTGGGGAGTGAACAGACGACATTTGTTGCTGAAAGAGATCTGAAATTAGTTCAAATGTTAAAGGTGCAGCAACAGGGACATTGGGAGGTGTAGGTGCCTGAGACATAGAGGGAACATCAGGTGGAGGGCTGTCAGTAGAACCCGCACCCTTTGCCTATTTGGGCGCCATATCGCTAGATACAGACGCAGCATTAGAAGATGAACTCTTCATTTTCTTAGCTTTTTGGAGGGAGGCTCCTGCGCCCAAATGTCTGCCAAACCCCCCCACCCCCCAGTAACAACGTGTAAAACATCATATCAGCATGGCGAGACTTGATAGTTCTTCATAGTGTGATTCCTCTGCGAGACATCGTAAACAGACGAGGTGGTGATCCCGCAACGGCAAAGTCGCACTACAGGTAACACAACCCTTGAACTGCTGCAAGAAAACAGGACCGAACTATGACTAATAGCAAGGACTGTTTCAAACAACATGGAATATGCACACAACACAGAAAAATATGACGTATGGGCGATATTTAACTGCTAAAGCCATTAAAATACAAGCATAAAGCAACAACGGCAAAGTCTACGTGTGCACATCTATAGTACAGAGCAAAATTGCGAGTGATACGAAATGAGCATGTTACAAAATTACTCGACAGTAACTTACCATAAATTCGCTGAAAAGAAAGAATTTAGGCAAGCTGAGCATATATAATGAAATATAAGACATTACAACCCTACTACAACGGCTACCAGAACCTGTAGAAGGGAGAAATTGACCACACAGACAGCCATCTTGCCTGCCATATGGCTGGAAACAGCGAGAACGCCGGCAAAGTTACAACAAATCATGACTGAAAATAGTCAGAAAAAGTGTGAAAAAATAGGAACCATACATACAGTATTCGACTCTTTCTCACTCATTTCTCTAGGTATGGCGAAGATTGTGGCTTCGAAGGACCATGCAGGACCGTTCCGTGAGTGAGGTATGAGGTACGAGGTAAGCAGCCAGAGTTACCTGCTCTTGGCTGTAGGGGGCCCTGTGGGGCCCTATAGGGGTGGTCTCACATAACAAAAAACATTTTTTGTTTTGTAATTTTTTTTATTAAAATATTGTTACAACTGTCGTAGATATTTAAAATGGACATTTTAATGCTTATATGTACCCCAAAGAGGACTTCTTCTGAAAAAAGAATATACATGTTGCAACAAATATTTTTTATCATTCACAACAATTCAGTTTCACAAATAGATTCAACTCTGAGCCTAATCATTCCCCAAGCATGCTGGTTCTCCATAGCTGCCCTACCTCCATGCCAGGCTCCATCTGTTTCCTGCAGACTAAACAGCTCCAACACTGACCCCACCACCTCATCAGCAAGCTCCTTCGGTAAGCGCCCGTCACTCGCCAATACTGGAAATATACAAACCGATTTGCATGACATTTTATCAGGGGTTACAAATTCTGAACGGTTTAATGGACCATGGGGAAGTGAAAGATCATGTCACATTAGGCTGCAATGAAAATGGCGTAATATTCAGCATGGTTCTCTAAACTCACTGGTCTTTTTCAAATCAACAATGTGGCAAGAATCATACCACTCAACTAGTTTGTGTGCTGTCTTAATGACAGATTATCTACAGTAATGGAAAATTGAAGGATGACCCTTAACTTCTTTTCAGCAGTATATGATGACTATTTACACAATTACCACATAATTCCACAATGGAAATGTCATTCATATACGTAAAAAACAAGATCTTTTAAATGTACTAGAGTGAGTGAGTTGGGTTTTGCCGCTTTTAGCAATATTCCAGCAATATCACGGCAGGGACACCAGAAATGGCTTCACACGCTTCAACCACCTGGAGAATCTAACCTGGGTCGTCAGTGTGACAAGTGAACGCTTTAACCACTAGGTTACCCCACCGCCCCTAAATGTATTAGAAGATTTCTTTATCAGTCAGTTCCAGAGATTACTTCAAGTGTTACATTCAGTTACTGGGCGGTGGGGTAGCCTTGTGATTAAGGCGTTCGCTCGTCATGCCGAAGACCTGGGTTTGGTTCCCCACATGGGCACAATGTGTGAAGCCCATTTCTGGTGTCCCCGCCGTGATATTGCTGGAATATTGCTAAAAGAGTGTAAAACTCACTCACACACATTCATCTACTGGACCTGCCTACCCTTTAGCTGCTGACCACCTCACGATTGTGTCCTTGTCCCTCAGGCCTCCCAACAGTTGCTCTGAAACATCAACACAACACTGACCATGTACGGGGCAGTGGGGTAGCCTAGTGGTTAAGGTGTTTGCTCTTCACGCCGAAGACCCGGGTTCGATTCCCCACATGGGTACAATGTGTTAAGCCCATCTCTGGTGTCCCCCGCCGTGATATTGCTGGAATATTGCTAAAAGCAGCGTAAAACCAAACTCACTCACTCACTCACTGACGATGTACAGCTGTACAGGACAGTTTTTTTTCATGTTTTAAGGATGAATTTGTTCCTCATTTAGTGAAGGAAATACATATTCTTTGTATTTGCCAATCTCTGGAGACAAATTATTTACAACATCAAATCAACATTTTCAGAGACATCCGAACTCAGCCCACTGATACACAAAACTGTAAAAAGGTAATAATGAGTCTGACTTCTTTGAGTGGCATTTTAGAATGATTTAGAATTGTCAATTTTGTCAATTTTTTTAATAATGAGTCTAGCAAATACAAGTTTACATACAGATATGAGAACAAAGATTATTAACAAATGAAGACTACCTATAACATCTTCAATTTCTTCAGGGACATCAATATCATCGTCATCATCTTCATCAATTTGGTTCTCAGTTATATCGTTTTGTTTTGTCTGTTTCAAGTTCTCGGTCAGAGATCTGCTGCCTCTCTTATATCTGAAACACATCCATGAAATAAAGCACCATCCAGCAATCCATACATTACAAATTATAAACATAAACAGGTCCAACTAAAATTAATGACATTCAACAGTCATAATAAACTTCATGTAAATATTCATGAATATAACAAACTTAGTGCTTATAAATTGTGCTTGCTGGACAGTAAATGTGGGGTCTAAACTGGATTTCTAAATGCATCTGAAACCTCCAATATTCCTACCTTCATGTATATGTTTAGTATCTGATGCGACACTCAGCAATACTCATGTTATAAGATACTGATCTGTAAACGATTGAGTCTGGATCTGATGATCCAGTGATTGATGTAATGAGCAACCTACTTCACCATCTGGATAAGATGCATTGTAAACCAAAAGTCACTGTGTTCTTTAATCTGATTGGTTGAAAAACATGATCGAATGGTATTTGATTCCCGGAAATTGCAAGACTTTTCACTGCGTATTGACACGAACAAATATCGCACACAATTGTATTGTTGATTTGTCAGCAGTTTTGCGAAGTAAAGTCGGAATGACATCCCAAATGAGCAGTTCCAGATACTACCATGGGAACCAGCTGAAAGGCCGGCTGATGACAATACACCGCTGTACCCATACTGGATGTCAATGAGTACAAACAGTAAAACCCATGTGGGCCTGTTGGTTTACTTTTGTGTTTACAATGTCACTAAACATCATGTGTTGGCCAATTTCCGGGTGTTATTGAGTATTTTAAGCACGTGAATATTTCATTTGAAACCTCATTTGAACTTAACGCTGTCGGTTCCAAATGAATTCCCGTGTTTCAAATACTCAATAACACCCGGAAATTGGCCAACACATGATGTTTATCTCCTAATTCAACCCAGTCACCAGGCATGGAAATTAATCAGTTAAGTCTCATCAGCTATAGATTGCTGTTGACTATTTCTAACAATGCTAACCTAAAATCCCCAAAGGGTTGAAAATGTTAAAGTTTTCCCAAGTAAAAAGTACACTGAAACCTGCCAACACTGGCACCTGTCTAATCCGGCACACTGTCAAAACCAGCATGAAATTTTGGTTCCGCCATTTTACAATATTATGATCATTAAAACATTGTCTAATCCGGCACCTATCTATTCCATATTCCAGCACAACTTTCCGGTCCCAACAAGTAATTTTAACTGTAATTAACAATGTCTAAACCGGCATGGGTATGAGCAGTCCAATCAAGGACCCATAATCCAATGCACTAATTAATCCACTTGGCACGCTAGATAATCAGGAAGTAGTGATTGCACAGTGAATCAAAAGCTCTAAGCCGGCATGGGTATGAGGAGTCCAATCAAGGTCCATTAATCCAATACAATCCTCTCGGCACGCTAGATTACAGAGATAAAGAGATTGACAAGTGTAAATGGCAGCGATGTTGGAAAATTATCATCACTGTCTAATCTGGCACCCTGTATAATCCGGCACCCTGACTAAACCGGCATTTTATTTCGGTCCTGTGAGGTGCCGATTTAGACAGGTTTCACTGAATACCCAATTACTTCAGTTGCCGTCTGATAATCAGCCAAGTGATGGACATGTAGGCCTACCTCCAGGCAGCGACTCTGTTCTTGAGGAAGGTAAGCCCGAGTCTCTGTATGAGCTTGACAGTTAGTTTCCGCAGGATGGTGTTGCCACTCTCCATCATGTTACTATCTCTGACATTCGTCAACACAGATGGAGCTGGAATGTATTTAAAACAAGTGTTTGCCACTGATATGGCAATGTCCTCCGCCGCTAAAGAATGGAATATCTATATTTACTACTTTTTATTTTTTGTTCACATACAAGATACCTGAAATGACTGGTGTCTGCATAATCACCCAATGTAGGCTGTCAACATAATTGAAAACATTGGGTGCAATGTTTATGAGACATCGCGTTTAAATAAGTTTGAAAAGCGGTCAAAGTGTTGTGGTGACCTTGAAGATAAGGCGAAGGTCGCCCAAATCAACTGGTGTCTGGGTAATCCCCCACTGTAGGATGTCACCAAATTTGAAGACACTGGGTTCAACAGTTCATGAGATATCCCGTTAACAAGAGTTAGAAAAGTGGTCAAAGTGTCGTGGTCACCTTGAAGATAAGGTCAAGCTCACCCAAATATACTGGTGTCTGCGTAATCCCCTAATGTACAAGAGTTAGAAAAGCGGTCAAAGTGTCGTGGTAACCTTGAAGATAAGGTCAAGGTCACCCAAATCAACTGGTGTCTGGGTAAACAACAGTTCATGAGATATCGCATTAACAAGAGTTTGAAAAGTGGTCAAAGTGTTGTGGTGACCTTGAAAATAAGGTCGACTGGTGTCTGCGTAATCCCCCAATGTAGGCCGTCACCAAATTTGAAGACATTGGGTACAACAGTTCATGAGATATCTCGTTAACAAGAATCGGGACGTACGGACGGACACCGCTGAATACATAGTCCTCCATTCCGCGTTGCGGCGGGGGACAATTAGCCTTAGGTCAAATCTGCTGCAGTTTTATGGAACATCCACTATCTGCGATATCTCTTACCTCAAAGAACTAAGAATGAAACTTTTCTCTGTTAAGGATTTGATGAATTGTAAATGAATACGTAGTTTGAAAATGCTACTATCAACACATGTATTTCACCACTACCTACCATATTGAAGCAGATCCTCTCTTTTTGCTCTGTTTGAAGAGCAGCGCCATTGTCATCAACACACCGGACAGTTGGTTCGTGCCCATCATTGTATTACCTGAAACATGATACAATCACTTAACTAATTAATTGTTCTCTCAGAAATGGACAGTACTAGGAATGCAGGAGTCTTCTAGGTTAATAAATCAAATTGTTTTTGATCAATTTGATATTCTTTGGTGTAAAACTTCAAGAGAGTTGAAATAATTACTTTTCTTCTTGAAAATTTGTCGGGCAATTTTTTAATATTTAAATCAAATATTATGCACCTAACATAATCTACAAAGGTATCTGCTTTCAGTGAGACATGAAACCTGCTTTTCGTTTCACTTACGATCAGCTGTGTGGAGAATCTGAACACACCAGTCCAGAAACTCGGGTAGTTTCTGCTTGACCACATCTGGTCGGGTCATGAAGCGAGATATGAGGAATGCTGCTGCATCGCGACTCTTGCCGCTGACACTCAGGTACGTCTGTAACAGGATCCATGCAATTGAAATTGAAAACAAGATGTAACCATTGGTTAGGGAGGGTATGGTCAAGGGGAGACAATCCTACACAAGACTGACTTCCGCATGGTTCAAATCTAACACAGGTTACAGGAATGCCACTTGGCTACCCAACTGCCCAAACATTTGCTTGAGGACTACCACTCCACCATCAGGTAGATGGAAACTGTACCAGATCATTTTGTGCACAAGTGAATAAATGACGTCACTCGGACCTTCAAAGATGAGGAAACACCAAACTAACATTACTCATTACACAGTGGTTCCTGTAATAAGGTTATGGAATAGTGGTACCTACAATCCAGCAATATTACACTAAGCTAACCTTGAAATAGGTTGTCATGGTAACACGATAAACAACAGAAAGACATCACTGAAGACCAACCTTGCCCACTTCAATGATTCGATCCATGACTGGTTTCTTTTTCTCTCCGCCTTCAGTTCCCAAACTGCCATCAAGACGGACCATGTCAAAGGGAATCATACACACCATTGACAGCCACAACAGCAGGATGTACCGAGATTCCCAGTACTGTAAGTCACAAGGCCAACATGAACATAATACATGATGACAAGAAAGACATGGAAATTAAAGCAGATTAAAAGAGTACTCTAAGGATTCTGATCAGTTCACATTTGAACAACTTCCATATGTACAACATACACCAAAGCTCATCAACAGTTCTTAAAAGCAATAATTTTGTCATAAGTGTACATGCAGACAATCCGGTTTTCAAAAGATAGGCTGGTTTGGGTAAAACACAACTGAAATTGGTTAATATGGCTTACATGAGCTTCTAGATTTACTGTTGCATTACTCTTCATTTCCACAGGCTGAATATCTACCCAATTATATCAAACACAACATGCATGTTTATATTAAGACAAATTTGCAATGAAGTGCATGCAACACAGGTCTTTTGGACATGAATGCAGATTATATTTCTTTCAATATACATTCCCCACCTTAAAGTCATAGGGGTCTTGTTGTTTTATAAGCGCCAACACCGGTTCAACATCCGCAACTTCATGAGGCAGGAGGCGGACAACAATCTTATATCCTCGCATCTGAAACACAAGTCATAATTTAACCTAGCATCCACAACACATACAGGTTGAAAATTCTATCCTACATTTGTTGAAGTGTTGAGTGACTTCATTGGGATCAATGACATTTTGTAAATATTTCAGTCAGATAAAAGCATAATAATGTTAATATGGGAGGAAATCACAACTTGATGCTTTTCACTTTGGGGGGTGGACAAAACAGTGCTCACATTGAAGAAAATCAGCAGCTGATAGAGTCAAGGGACACAACTCTATGGACTGAATTGGATCATAACCAAAACGTCCGTTTGTCAAAGTAAGGCCTGAAATAACTATATATGGAGCATATTACAACATAAACAACTACAATGAGGAAGCCTTTGATGTTACAGTAGGCATGGGTGGGCCAGTCATCTAAGATTCACTATGCACAGATTAGCTCAGATTACCCTGATCATAGTTCTCGCTTTGTCGGCACGATACCCATAATCAGTTTTCATCAGCGTCGAAGACCTGATTCAATTTTAGATTTCTTCCTGACACGCTGTAAAAACTGTACTGAAAAATTGTACAAAACATTCTTAAACCAAGTGCTAAGCAGTGACTCACTATTGTGGTTACACCTTTTAGTTTCAATCTCTTCCTAAGGAGATTGCCAGAGGATGTATTCCTATGTTTGGAAACACTACATGTACTAATCACTGGTAGGTAGGAAACTGAAGCATGATTCCCCAACAACAATGGAACCTAGGGATTGTTGTACCTTAGTAATGAGATAGATATACTTGAAGGCCAGGTGGACAACAGGGACTGGGGTGTCAGGGTTCCTGGCCTGGTTCAACAGCTGCAGCAGCAGGGACTCTGGAAACGATGAACATAATGACATATATTAACTAGGTGATTGGGTGATCACTTTGTGATTTGTACTGTACATCTTTTGGAATGTCCTATGTAACACCTTTACATTTTTTAAGGTTGATATTCAACTCAGTTTCGCTGGTGTTTAGTTAATCCAAATTGATTGTTTATGTCATGATGGAATTCTGACACTCTGCTTATATCCATTGAAAATACATGATTATATTTCATATCAAATGTAAAATGTTAATGGCTAAACTAAGTCAGTGCAATAAATGTTTGCCAAACAGTACCCAGTATTAATGTGAACAGTGAATAAAATTGTGCTTGTAGGTTACCGTGGATACTTTATCATTTACACTTAAGTAGTAATCACATCAACTACTAACCAGTGATAATTGACTTGAGATACCTGTAATGAGGAAGTGACCTGTATTGGTGTGTAGTATATGTGTAGTGTCAACACCTCCGCTATTGTTATAAAATTTGCCAATGAATGAAGTTCATTGGATATCAATTAGTGTCACGGACATTAGTGCTCATTTGTCAATTAATTTTATGAGAGATGTCTGAATTGTTGTTATATTCTGTATTGTTATGATGATTGCTAACCTGAAGACAATAAAGATGACAAGAGATTTACGTTTTCTGTCTATTATTAAGTTCTCAAAAGTAGACATGGTCAGACTGAAACGCGTCATAATAATAATGCGAGTAGAGTACAGACGCATATTTCGCATTAATACAATGCTCGCATTAATTTCATGATTTACAGTAATGATGTGAAAAAACCTTGTCTTATTGACCTGGTTTACCAATCAGATTAACGTGCAACAAACTTATGTTTACCTAGATGGGGATCAATCAGATGAGGTTGTTCTTGGTAGGAATCGATGATAACTGAAAAAAGAGTGCTTAAAATAGAATTGATTAACACACAAGACAGAGAGAGTTGTTTGGCTTATATTGATAAAACACAATATATTATCTGTACTGACTACTAACCAGTTATCGCTAAGGACCTGTTACTGCGCCAACTCCATGTTAAAGTGAGCATGTAACTGCATAATAGTCATGGGACAGTAAATTCAGGTACCCTGAACTTTGGGTACTGAGTGAGTGAGTTTTTAACTCCACTTTTAGCAATATTCCAGCAATATAACGGCGGGGAACACCAGAAATGGGCTTCACACATTGTACCCATGTGGGGAATCGAACCCGGTCTTCAACATGACGAGTGAACGCATTAACCACTTGGCTACCCCACCGTTCCCTTTGGGTACTGAGTAGAACCCAGGTACCTGGTCACATGATATGGTAAGTCACATGATATATTGTTCAATGACAAAACAATGAAACTCCATGGTTACACTGCATGACTTTAAGGTTCACATTTCTTTCTACATTTGTTCTGGCCATGCACACATTCCTTCTGTCATATGTTTCTTTGAGTAAAGATAATGATTGAGTTATCTATACATGCATTTAAGAAAATGGTATTTATTTGCACAGTTAGTCAACAGGAAAGTCCTATTTCCAATGTTTTTATGCCCTCAAATCCCATTATTAAAGATATCAACACAAACTTTTAAGCTGGACAGAAATAAAAAACATTTGCTCATAGTTTAAAAAAATGAAAAATCATTGGTTGTAAATATAATATATAGAATATTTCAGAAATAGCATTAAAATCTTCAGTAACTGGTTGTGGCCAGTATGCTTTAGGTAAACAAAAGCAACATCACAATAACAGTATTATAAAATAAATAAAGTGGTATTACATTATCATGCTCAGGGATGCAACTTAAACTGGAACAGTTACAAGATGTTAGATAGTGATAACATGATAAAGGAAATCCCTTTAGTTGGGATGGGTAACTTCTTGGGTTGGGTGCATCCCAATAGGACCAACATACCCACAGGACTACCTGGATCTGTGGTAAGTCACATAATATATTTTTTAATGACACTAACAATAATACCCTATGGTGACAGCGAATATTTGCATTTTTTCTGACTCTGCACATATTCCTTTTGACTTTTAGTTGTTTGAGTAAGATACAACTTCAGGCAAAGTCTGCGTGCAGGATTAGATCATATCATAGAAGTATCCGAACAGTTTTCAGCCAAGTGTTCCAGAATAACAATTGCAAACCAAACATTTTGAACCCAGCTCAATACCAAGAGAGCTCAATAAACCGGAGCTGACACTGGCAGTCAGAGCAAATTTTGCAATTGGGTATATGGTGCATTTGGTCTCACTCTAAATGTGTTATACACTCCATAGAAAACACTGTGGTGACAAAGTAAAGATATATGACTGTCCCTACAACTGCATTAATTACGACATATTATAACTGAAATGTGGCAAATTTGATTTTGTTATAGTCCTACCCCGAGTGTATGAGTCATGACCCAGTCTTAGGATGAGATGGACTTTGACAGCTCATTTTGCACGAGTTAATAAAAATGAATTTACTTAAGGATACTAAGTGACAATTCAGGTTTTGTCCAGCGCGTATGACTGTCAACCAAATTAAGCATTGCAAAAAGTTACAGTTTGTACAGTTTGAAAGATATGCATCAAGTCTATATGTAGAAAATGACTCATAAACCGAGCAAAGTTTACTAAACCCTGTTGACAACTCACTAGTGAATCGTTCACATGACATTTCTAATCTCCGAAGGTCTTCATAAACATCCTTCAACCCATCGATAAGTGACCGAATTTCTTCGATCTCCTTGAAATCTTCATGATATGCTTTTAACACATCGCCTTCACCATCGTCGACTTCCATGACACTCGAACGTTCCGTAGCAGCCGCCATGTTTGTAAACTCTCACTGAGGAAACGCGATGTGCGAGATTTGGATTTTCTATAAATATAATTATTCATAGGGTCAGTTAAATTCAGAATAAAATAGTTACAACAATATGATAGGGATTCAAAAGTACTTGAATGATATTTTTATTAAAGAATATAACAATATTTCATGTGCAGGAGTCACACTGGTTTGCCTGTCTTTGAGCACTTGCGCTCCTACAAGTTTAGACGTAAAAGGAGAGGAAAGGCAGGGTACCAGTCTAATGTACTAATAAAAAACGAAATATAATTCGTAATTATAAACTTAACATTGCCTCTGATTCAACATTGTTTGGCATCTAAATACTGGGTTCTAGGTGCGGTGTATTGTTGATATTTTTAAGTTACAGAAAATGTACTGTGTTATAATTATATATTTTGTTCGTAAAATGAGACATCTACATTTTGATCTACCACACGGAAATAAGAACGGTAACTCTGATGCCGGCAACAAGTGCTCGTCCGTTGAAATATTAGGGATGCGAAGTACGGCTATGATATTAAAGTTAAACAATCACTTAGATGACAGAACCATTTATTTACCAATGTCAGGGGAAGTATCTGTTCATACAAAAGCAAAATAGATAGCCTCGAGAGAATATTTGATGACGATATCAGTGCCAACATGCCCGATAAGGAATTGTGGAAAGTGTTCCTGCCGTCCAGCATATTATCTTGTCCGAGTGGCTACATGTACGGATCTGTACTTACAGGACGAAAGACAGTATGTATTCAGAAAGTCAGTGAGAGTGTAAATTACGGCCATAACAGTTCAGTGGTGGGAACTTGGAGGTCTCCATCAGAAGAGAAAAGTTCAGAAAGTTTAAAGAAGATAAAAACCTTCTCACATCGATATATGGGTTGAATTGTGTATATCTGAATTTGGTTCCATTTCTTGCACTTGCAGCTTGCAAAACCATGCAAAGAATCATTTGGAATCAAAATGTCACTGCATTTTGTATGATCCCTGTGACTTGCTGTCCTCATACATTCTTACAAATAAATCCTTCTTGTGTCAGTCAACTGTCAATACGAACGATGAGGTTGTGCCATCCTGTGAAAATATATCTGCTGTTGTGTCATCACTATTACAATTTTCAAACAAACCAGGAGAGGCAAGTGAGACTAAGGGAAGACAAGAGGAGAAAGAAATCTCAAGAAATGCTACGAGGGGAATCTTTTATCCATTCTGCCAATTTGTGATATACCCATTCATTTCAGTTTTCCTTCTGATTGGAAGAATATTTGACAACAGGTAAGACAGATGGAATAAATGAGGTCATTTGATCAAATGAGATTATTTGATGACTTTGAGATTATTGGCAAGAGTTATAATTAATTGTTTTTAGGATTGTGTCAGTGCTTAAAGGATCACTAGATTCTCAAAAATTAACCATGTTAACTGGTTTTATGTGTTTGTTAGCCAGAAGTTGATAACAGACAATGCTCAAACTGTTTTGCTTTTTAGATGCACAAAGAACAGCTTTGCCAAAACTTGCCTAGATGGACCCATGCTGACTCGCCACATTCGATACAGATGTAGTCTCTTGAGAAGAAGTTGTACTCACAAAAATGATTCCCCACTAAATAGGCTGAAGTAAGTACTGTACTATCACAACAACCAGTACTCTGTCACATGATAATTCCATGACAGAATAGATCCCAATACAACATATACCTCACAACTTTTGATAGAGATATTCAGACTGATATCTGGGAGAAGTTGTCACACAAGTCGTATTCAATCATTCAGTGGAACCTAGTTATTACTAAGTGATTTGTGCAAATTACTTATATAGAAAACATGTAAAATCATAAGGTGCCAACCCCACACCATCACGAAAAACTTGGGAAGAATCTTTTGCCCTTATGGTAACTTAAATGTTTGTGTATGGTGTGTGGATACAGTTACATTTTAACTCTGATACAAACTGATATATTTCTTGAAGGTTCCTCGATTCCTGTGGCCGGCAGCTGATTGATACAGCACTGGGCATATGTGTGATGGTTGTCATTATGAATGCCACACTCGCAGACACTGCTGCCACTACCATCATGGACTGGGCCGATGTGAGTCGTGATTGAATTTCTCTTTAATTTCCAGCCCAGCTGACAGATTAACAAGTAAATGTTAATTTGTCAGATTACCCACTTTAACAAATATTATGAACACCAAAGATTTCACATTTATTTTAATTAATTAGATTTGACTTATTTAATAGTTTAAATAAGATGACTATTATTGATCCACCAAAGTACAATATCATATGTATGTTTGGTGCTTTTATTATATGAATTATATACTCTTCCAAAAAAAGAAACTTGACATGCTGTTTTGGAGTTTACTTACTGAGTGCATATAACTGATTCAAACATGACATCATTGCTCAGTTACAGTAAAATCATCACTTACAAATTTCCAAAACATGATTATCCAGGAGGTGTTTGGTAAAACCACAGAAGGACTATTAAAAAAAGCCACTTGGTCAGAGTAAAATGTCAGTATCTGGTGTGACCACCATGAGCATCGATAACGGCTTGGCAGCGGTGACCCATAGAGGAAAGGAGATGTGGAATGCTGTCTTAAGGAATGTTTTGATACACTTGCTGAAGTGCTGTGTGCAGCTCTTGTAGTATCTGAGGTGACGAATTACGCTGGCGCAAGCGTCAATCAAGAGTATCCCATAGATGTTCAATGGGAGACAAATCCGGTGATCGAGAAGGCCAAGGCCAACTGAACATTGTTTTGCAGGAGGAAGACCTGTCAAACACGTGCAAAGTGAGGTCGAGTATTGTCATGCTCCAAAGATCACGTTGATGTAGGGAATGACATGACGTTGAACTGGTCTTCTGGCAAAAAAGTCTGGCTTTCCATAGCCAATTGCCGCTGTCTGGTCGGAGTTTTGGATTGTTGTGGATGATGCGGACGTAGTGTTTGAACGAAAATGTCTCAACCGGATGAAGCGATCCTGGCTAGCAGTGGTAGCTCCAGGTCGACCTGACCTGGGTCTGTCTTTAACACTACCAGTATTTTTGTATCGGGTCCATATGTTTGAGATGGTCTGTCTGGACGCGCTGAAGTGCCTTGCCACATCATACTGCGATGTCCGTCCTTATAACGGTCGATGGCTTTTGTCGAGCTATTGTCAGTCTTTTCATTATCTTGTCGTCTATATCATTATCATGATATCATTATCTTGTCGTGGCTTAAAGCAATGCATGTGGAGTACCATTAATGTGGCTTTTTAAAGCCTACATTCATAGGCTTCAGCTCAGGGTGATACACAATTTCATGATGCTAATGCATTTCATGTAGGATGCGTTTTAGCGATTCACTAAACATTTTGTCATTAGCAACCATTCCCCCACATGCTGGGATTCAGCATGGATTGGTTTGTGTCAAATATTTTCCACAAATTCAAATTTGTCCTATGTCAAGTTTCTTTTTTTAAAGAGTATATATATGACCCCTACCACAAGGTTCACAAACACACAGGTTTGAACATGTTGAAAGGGCTTTGCATTTTTCAGGTGAAGGCTTGAAAAGGTCTAAATTTGAAAAAGTTTTCAAAAAGGATTATGATTTGATAAAACTTGAATTTGAAAACAATGGTTAACTCTGCTTTTTAATGAATCCCTTCAATTACAGTAATATATTTCTCTTATTATTCATTACTGTGTCACAAAAGAATATCGAAACACTGCTGTTTGGACTTGAATATTTTTACAATGTATTTGAATGTACAAAAGGAGCAATTTTGACAATGTGATGCATGTGTCTAGAATGTGGCCAGTGCTCTGACTCGGCTGATCAACTGGATGATGGGGGCACCTGCTGGTCTGAAGCTCAACTCTCAGCTCACACACTTCCTGGGGCACTTCTTCGTCTACCATATCTACCTGTGGACAGGTGAGCCTTGCTTCTCAAACCAGGGAATCTGTAGATAGTCATGGCAGCTGCCCTACACTGATTTAGGTGTATCTGACTGTGAATGCGTCATGCATGGCATTTTCAGGATAGCTGTTTCTACTGTGCCCTGATCTAGATATCTGACTGTGGGTGTATGTTACAGGGTACCTGTCCCTACTGCGACCAGTGCTAGGGGTTCTACCGGGCTAGCAGTGTGTTGGGTGTGATCGGGGCGTCAGCCCAGCTGTGTCTCGTCCAGGACATCATGTCAATGATGACAATTCACATTTACTGCTTCTATGTGTATGCAGCAAGGTAAGGCATTTTTATAGTTGGACACTTTATTGATCTGTTTCTCTTTCTACAGAGTCTTACCATAATGTTACCATGGTTACAGTTTGTTTCTACCATCACTGCCTGGTAGTGGTGTAAGTTTGTAACTATATCAGAACCTGGTTTGTCCATTTCCATTTTGGGTGTTGCTGTAATATTGCTGTTTGTAGTGTGGAACATCAGAAGGATTTACTGTATGTTATGTGGGCGGTGGGGTAGCCTAATGGATTCGCCACCGAAGACCCGGTTGAATCCCCACATGGGCACAATGTTTGAAGCCCTTTTAACGTGATGTTGCTGGAATATTGCTAAAAGCGGTGTAAAACCAAACTCAGTCAAGTCAGTATGTTATGTACAGTCTGTTTGATTTCATTTGACAATTTAGTCAATAAATGCAATAAAACCGTATTTTGCTCAGTCACATGAAATCGACAGACCAACTCTGATGATTTGTCTCATAATTTTGGACATCCGAATAAAAAGTTGTTTAACAATCATTATTTTGTTGTCACTTTTGCTATTTCTTGCAAGGGGGGACCACTTGCTGGTAGAACAGCAAGATGTGCGAGTTGCATGTGTGAAACTGAAATTTCACTACACACACTTAATAGCAGTATGTGACAACAAAATAATGATCGTTTGTTATTTGGGTGTCCAAAATTATCAGACAAATCATCAGAGTTGGTCTATCGATTTCATGTGACTGTGCAAAATTTGGTTTTGTTGCAATTCTTAGATTTTGTGTAAGTGAGCAATTTATCGGTCTCAAATGAAATCAAATGGACTATAGACTATAAGAACACTATTTTTAAAAGTCTGGGATATACTGTTGTCCACTTCCCCGTGACATTCCAAATACATGAAAAAGCCTCTGGAAACTTCTTTGGAATCTCTTTTCAGATTTCATATACTAGTATTTCGTAGGGTTTTGTTTATTTTCTTGTAAATGTTATTTACGACACCTTTTATTTGTTATTGTCATAATACAATGAGACTGCTCTAGTCTTGATATTTCATTGATACAGAGGAGGAGTGAGTGAGTATGGTTTTAATGTCTGGCAATATTACATCAGGACAGCGGACACCAGAAATGGGCTGGAATCACTTTACTCATGTGAGGAAAACAACACAGCACTACTGCTTGATACAAGGTTACTGATGTCCTTGGAATACTGATTTTAGTTTATAAGTTATAGTCATCATTCCCACTGATTCAGGTTATACAGTCTGCAAGTGTATGCCCTAGCCTCACTGTGGCGGCTGTTTAGAGGCAAGAAGTGGAACGTGCTGCGTCGCCGAGTTGACTCTGCTGTGTACGACATTGATCAGCTGTTTGTGGGGACACTCTTCTTCACCATCCTTCTCTTCCTCCTGCCCACAACACTGTTGTACTATGTCTTCTTCCTCGCGGTAAGAAAACGTCCACATTTATTTCTTGGCTGAACTGAGGGTTTGTGAGTTTGTTGTGCCAGTGTTGAAGTAGTAGTACAGTGGGGTTTCTGCTGCAGATGTGGCTTAGAGGCTTATTTTTATGAAATAAGTTCCCCAGCACCCATTAAAAAACAGCGATGGTCTCGCCAGAGGCATCCTTCGATGTGCCTCCTACCTAGAATGTGCATTCAAGCTAAATTAGCCGATTGTGGCTTCTAAACATGTTTTCAGTGTCCATCGACACATTCATCGTGGTCTAGATTACCTAAGAGCATCGTGTTTGTGTTTTATTTACCTTTATTCGAGCCATCAAACGTGCACGAGGCGAGCCATCCCATAATACTCGCTACAGACTGGTTCCCTTGAAACCGACCGCGAACCGGTTTTAAAACGGGTTCCAGTCATTCTTTGCGCTTACTGTAGCTAGTATAGACGGAGCCAAGCTCAAGAGGCCTGATCGGCTCTCCTGTTAACAATGACATCATAAAACAGGCAATCTGAGTATAGACCGTTAAACCCGCGATGTGCCTTTCAGCCGGCTCGACAGTGTGATTGTTAGAGCGTTGGACTTGTAATCCAGCGTTTGGAGTTCGAGTCGGGATAGCGACAGGAACTTTTGCGAGTGAGTGGAGGTATATAGGTCATGCCAGCGTTCATACATGAGTGTTCTACTGACATAGTATGTATGTCACGCCAGCGTTCATGTATGAGCGCTGGACTGGTCTCTAGATAGTGGGATTTGTGTGTCATGCTGGCGTTCCTACATGAGCGCTGGCCTGACATGGTTAGCCCCTCTCCATGTATTATGTATGTCACACCACCGCTCATACATGAACGCTGACTGAATGTGGTTTCTTGAACAGTTTGTGTTGCAAGGGTTATTGGAGAGGTGAATTCTCGATTTAAAAAACTAAAAATTCACTAGGCTATGTTGACATCTACAAAACAGTTTAAGGTGAATCTTTGATGAGATCCTTGTTTTTTGTCAGGAAGGTTTGAATGATGTGTTGTCGACCCTGTTCTATGAGCTTTTTTTTCTCGTCTTCGCTGATGTCAGCGGTTTTTCGAGTCTTGGTTCGAATCTCTTCTTTCATTCGGTGGCATTTTGCAATTTCCGACATCACCAAACGAAACTCTTCCTCGGAGATTTTGCTATCGGTGATCGCGGTGGAAATATGATCGTTGATCGTGTTTAACTTGGCTTCAGCCAGAACCCTGATCTCGTCATGCTTCAGCGCTTTCCGTTGCAGATGACGTAAAATGAATTTAAGGGCTATTCCCGCCACCCCCGATACCCCAGCGGTTATTTCTAACCTGAGGACGACGGGTGCGGCCACGATGGTGGATAATAAGCTGACGCCTGCCACGCCTGATACCATGCTAGCTGCCATGAGGGCTGTGTCCATGCTGTCGATTGCATTGACGGCTCGATGGTATTTTTTGTGCAATCCGAGTCGCAAGTCGCGTTCTTGTTCCAGCTGACCTTTGATCTCGCTGATTTGTTGCAAACGAAATCCATCCACGGTTTCGAGCGTTTGAGCCACGTCGCCCATGGCCGGATACAATCCCATCTTGCACTATATATATTGTTTACGAAATAATATTTAATTGGTCCTCCGTCAATCGTTGATGAATATAATTTAAGCTGATGAGGTACACGTGTTCGGGTGCAAAAAGCTGGCTGAGTAAAATTTCATTTGTAATAAAACCTCGACTCCCTCAAGGCTTGTGGTGGAAGCTTTTCCTAGTTGTACATAAATACGACAGCGTTGATTTTTATGGCAATCGTTGGTAATAAGGGTAGAACCTGGTATCACAGTTATCCACGGGTCTGGGACTTCACTATATCGTTTTAAATAGAGCCATTTCGTCGCGTCTTCCAAGTGAGGGACTAGCATATAACCCGTTTGATCTGGTAATGGTGATGCGTACATTCCCTTTTTATGAACTGGAATAAAACTCCCGAGTAGAATCCCATTGCTTTTAGTTCGAGGATATTACGATCCTGATCCATGACGAGATAGGGGTAGGTCAGGATGATATTGATGATCCAGTTCAATTCGACAATGACTTCTCGACATTGTTACTCATTGTTTTGTAAGTGCAGGACGTACAAGACGTTTTCCGTACCGGGTTCGCCGAATCCTCGCGTGTCCCCGAGATCAGAGAACGCGATGGTGGCTTGCGGAGTCACGTTTGCAATGGCACTTATGGTTTTTATATATATTACAAAATAAATTTAAATTGGTTTTCGGATAATTTTTCGGCCGTGCACTTCAAACCCATCAGATGTATGTAATCTTGTAGGAAATTTTCGTGAGCGATATCGTGACTCCCTGCTGACTGCTATAGGTTAGTCTCATTGGCGACAGAGTGCTGACGACGACACCGCGCCTTTCGCGTCGGGACGTAGTTTTCACGATCAGCGCCCGTTGTTCATGACTTTCGTAACATCGGAGGTAGTGGTCTTTGTTTTCCGCTAACAGGTGGGGAGAGTCTAGCGATGTTGACATTCCAGTCGATTCGAAGGGTACGAACACCCACTGGTTGTCGCTGGTAAAGACGGGGTGTATGGTAAAGACTGGCGTAACGGCGTGTTTCGAGCGACGACCGTCTTCTCAACGTCGTCCAGGTCGAAGAGTTTGTCGCCGAAGGCTTGAACCATCACCCATGTGTTATTGGCGTTGCGAACGAGATTGTACTGCGTGTTTTTTAAGAGACCTCTGGTCTTGACATCGTCTAAATCTCCTAGGTTACCACCGCCGCCAGATCCGCTGCTCACTTCGACGCGTTTGTAAATGCCGTTTTTGAGATGCAAGGCGGACAGTTTACCGTCGATGCCGGGCTCGTGGAAGCCGCGCATGTCCCTGAGGTCGGAGATTGCTAGGTTGGCACATTTTCTCGGTCGCATGGCCGTTCCCGGACCCGAATCTTCAGTCATCATTGTTTGACGTGCAGTGTCACGCTCAGGTATCTTATATAAACGGGTTTATATTTTAGATCTAAAACTGATAGTTTCAATTCCATGATGTAGCCTCGCATTAATTTCTTGTACTGCAAGGTCGAAAACGATTCGGCCGTCGTTGTACTTTTCCGTTTTCACCGGCACGGCTCTCAGCAGCGTGGAAGATCGTTCGCCTTGAACGTTGTCCGTCGTGCTCAGCTGATCAAGGTGAATGCACAGTTCGTGGTATGGGACGAGGCTTGGCAATTTCGAGCCCATGACGGTATCTCGAGGTGCTATCTCGTAAGTCGCAAACCCGAGTGTTCTCGCCGAGGGTCGACCCAGTTTGATTGGTTAGTCTCTGTTCGTCAACTTGAGCGTGCCATCCGACTTGTTGAGAAAACGGGTGACCATCTCACGAAGAAGAAAAACTCATAGCCAGCCCGTCTACGTGGGGATGAGCATTCTCGCCCTGTCCAAACATCTCATGTACGACTTTTATTACAACCGACTCAAACAACAGTACGGCGATCGATGCAAGCTGCTGTACACGGACACCGATTCCTTGTTGTTGAATATACGTACTGAGGACGTGTACGAGGACATGGTGAAACACATGCACCTCTACGACACCAGGGATTAACCCCCAGACCACGCCCTACACAGGACAACCAATAAAAAGGTCCTCAGCAAGATGAAGGACGAATGCGCGGGCACACCCATCGCGGAATACGTCGGGTTAAGACCTAAAATGTTACGATTCAAAAAGCCGACGAAATCCGAAAAGCGAAAGGGGTCAAGAAATATACGTGGTGAAACAACTCATCAAACACACCCTCCTCAAACAGGCTCTCTTCGATAAACGCACGTTCAAACACCCCATGAACACGTTGAGAAGCGACAAACACAACATCTACGGCATCACTCTCAACAAGACCTCGCTGTCGCCCCTGGATACCAAACGATGGATTGCTAACGATGGCATCCACACTTATAGGTATGGATACCAACAGTAGGCCTCGACACGCTGGGAGTTTCCGAGACCCCCAATAAAGGAAACTCCACTCGATGCGTCGAGACAATTGAATGAACGATAGTGTGTATACATCATGGAGACGGTTTACTACAGCCCTCGGGCTTACTGGAAAGGTGTCAGCGCAATTCCGAGGCTAGCCAAAGCCGCTCGCGTCTCTGAGGATACCGCCACAGCTTGGCTTAAAAAACAAGCCATCTGGCAAGTGTACCTGCCGGCTCCCCAATACATCCCGAGAAGAAAGTTTGACATTTCCATACCCAATTGTACCCATCAAGCCAACCTCCTGTTTCTCCCGCACGACAGGGTGAGAAACAAAACGTACAAGTACGCCCTGACCATCGTGGATGTTGCCAGTCGCTACAAGGAAGCAGAGCCGTTAACGACCAAAGATTTGAGTCAAGTCGCTAAGGCCTTAGAACGTATCAACAAACGCAGTCCCTTGACCTGGCTGACAGAATTACAAGTCGATCCTGGACGCGAGTTCATGGGAGCCGTGTCGCAGCTTTTATCGAAGCATAAAGTCCAGGTGGAAAGATTCAACAGGACTTTAGCCGAGCGTTTGTTCGGACATCAGTATGCCTGAGAGATGGCCAACCCAGAAAAACGATCGACAGAATGGGTCGTACGCTTACCGTGAGTGGTGTCGGCGATCAACAACGAAGTCACTCGACTCGTCGATAAAAGACCCGTTGAAGCCATTCGAATGAAATCCGTGACGACTGAATCGGCTGCGCCATCGCTCGTCACGGCCAAGAGAAAAAAATACCGGGCCAGGTCGTCGTGAGGTATCTGTACCAGCCCGGTGAACTCGAAGGAAGGGACATACGTCGTGCGACAGACCCCGTATGGTCCATGAAAACGTACCGCGTCTACCGAGTGGACATCAAAGACGATGAACTGAATCTGTATTACTTGCAAGACAGACCATGTAGGGGATTCGTCCGAGAGGAATTGATGATCGTCCCTCACGACACGGATTGCCCTCTTATTAAAGTTGTCGCTCAAAATTACGGATACCTTTCGTGAATCCTGGATTACGAGTCCATCGCTCGGAACTTTGGGTCTAGGCTGGCGGCACATATGGCTCTCGATAGACCATCACCGTTTTTAATGGGGGCTGGAAGGCCTAATTCCCACAAACAAGCCTCAAAGCCGCATCTGCGGCAGAACTCCCACTGTACTACTACTGTTGAGGATGTCATGGCCGCTCTTCGTGAATTAGTGAATGAGTGAGTTTAGTTTTATGCAGCTTTTAGCAATATTCCAGGGGGGGGTGTTTACCAGAAATGGGCTTCACACATTCTACCCATGTGGGGAATCAAACCCGGGCCTTTGGCGTGTCAAGTGAATGCTTTAACCACTAGGTTATCCCGTTGCCTGCTGGTGGCACTACACAGCCATTTAGTCAAGTATCAATGTGTGATGAAAGGGGCCAGTTGTGTAAGGTTCCCAGTCACATTATTGCTATGATCATACTTCATGACCTTCTTTGGGGGCCGTGGGGTAGCCTAGTGGTTAAAGCGTTGGCTCTTCACGCCGAAGACCCGGGTTCGAATCCCCACATGGGTACATTGTGTGAAGCCCATTTCTGGTGTCCCTCGCCGTGATGTTGCTTGAATTTTGCTAAAGTCGACGTAAAACCAAACTCAGTCAGTCAATCAGTCATGACCTTCTTTGTATATGTACAGATGTATACGTCCCTGCCACACTTTGTTTTGATATGATGCAATGCTTTGATATCTCAGTAATATCAGGTAGATTATAGCTCCTGTTATAGATTGTTTGGACACATTGACATTTCAAGTCTAGTTTTGATGTCATCCCCAAAGTCAAATTCTTGGGAAAAGTTTGTTTACTATCTTCCATACTAAAAGCGGCGTAAAACGGATCGTTTATTGAAGCTCATTGAAAGTTTAGGTAAGGTCAAGATTGAAAAAGGTCCTGAATGACCTACATATGATGAAGGTCAGTCTTGAAGTATGTTTACCATTTTGTCTAAAATGCCGTTTCTGTTGATATTGTACAAGTCTTACCCATGTGTTAGTTAAGTAATTTATGTGTTGGCAGCTGCGTGCAGTGGTGCTGGTGATGGAGGGACTGCTGACGCTTTGTGTTTGGGTCATCAACCATCTCCCTGTCTACTCCATCACCATGTGGTTGCTAGGGTCAAACACAGTGGCAGGTCAGTCCCAGACTTCTACCCTGTCCCCACTACCCTCCGTCATGCTCATTATGTATTGGCTAGTATGGAGTCTACTCACAACTTCACCGGAATACTATATAACTTGACCCGTGAAGATCCGGGTTAGAACTGGTCTTCAATAACCCATGCTTGTCGTAAGAGGCGACTAACAGGATAGTAGGATCGAACATGTCATCGTAGCCCAATTGCAATGAACAATGCTCATGATGTTGATCAGTGGATTGTCTGGTCCAGACTCGATTATTTACAGACCGCCGCCATATAGCTGGAATATAGCTGGGTGCGGCGTTAAGCAACCAACAAACTATAAACATATATATGTTCTAGGTTCAGACATTCTCTATTTATCATCATTAATTTTGATTCCTGATATGTTTATTCCTATTGTTTCACGATGAATTTTTTTTCAAATGCAAACACTTCTTGACAGATTCCCTGTTGCTATGTGTTGCTAGGTGATGTGCGGTTCTCTGTGGTGCCAGATTCCTACACCGGAACCTCCCTAGTGCTCACAATGCAGGTATATACGACAGTGGTGTCAGTAGAGGATATCAGTGATCTGTTCGTTTAGTGGAATGTTATCTGAAGCGTAGTCTTCTGTTTACAAACAGCACTAATCATGATGAATACATTTATACAATTACAGCAAGACAACCTTTTCCTCCATCATAGCCAACAGGGGTGGTGGGGTAGCCTAGTGGTTAAGGCGTTCGCTCATCACGCTGAAGACACGGGTTCAATTCCCCACAATGGGTACAATGTGTGAAGCCCATTTCTGGTGTCCACCTCTGTGATATTGCTGGAATATTACTAAACGGGTGTAAACTCACTCACTCACTCCTAATACCACTTACCCATTTACATAATTTACATAATAACAGTTTTTATTTCTGTATCACAATGAGAAAGCATGGAGGATATCGACATCCAGCAAACATTCGAAACAGATCATGAGTTCTTTGATAAAAAACTGTTGAACAAAGGGAGGTAACTTAAACTTTGCATTTCATATGTAACCACAAGCAACAATATGGTGGAGACATTTTCCCTTTCAAGCTATTTGCCCAGATAAATGATTAATGTAGATCAGTAATTATGTAGATATGTCAGAAATGAAATAGACGGAATGTAATGTGTTGAATAGAGCAGGTTAGATGTAAAGAAAAATCAAATATTGCTGGCCCGTGGCAGAGGTTTGACTGCAGGGAGCTCAGGGTTGAGAATAATTATCTGTGACTTAGCTATCCACTGAAAACTGAGAACAATGAACCCTCCCTACTATGTTGCAGCCCTCCCAGCTGCCTCTTGGCGAGCTCCTGAAGTCGGTGAAGGATACGCCACACACACACAACCCTCGGACTCCCTGGGGATGCTACTTCACAAAGTGATCAAAGGTCAGCTGATATACCCCTGGATAGACGAGGAAAGCACCAGTGACAAGAAGAATGTCTAGCACCCCACCGCTCTCCCCACCCCTCTCAGTCAGGGTGGGGTATGGTACTGGCAATATGGAGACAATGCGTGTTTTATTTAAATTGCATGATCAAATTTGAGATGGGTTTTTGTGCTATTGACGAGCAATATTTGTCTTCTTGTTACAAAATATTTTCTAAAACATTTTGATAACTGCAAATCATAGACAGATAATGTTGGTGTAATTCTGTTCACACCTTCCATATGTATTAATGTCCTTTTGTGAAGTCAAGGTATTATGTGTTCGTTATTCTCATCTAAGCCCACTACAGTGTTATCTTGTCACCTGCAACTTGGAATTATAGATTGTTTGTCTTGTTCAAATTATTTTCAATAGTCGGTGTGGAACTTTCAACATTAAGGTACATTCTCACACTGCAACTTTGTAGTAGCACAGTTTCAACATCAGAACACCCTATTTGTAACTATTTTAAATCATATACATCGAGTTGCACCCAAGGTGTGAGACATAGGACTTTTACTAATTCCTACTGCAAGTCACAATCCTTCGACCAATCATATTGCTTAGATCTGTGTCTACCTCAGAGTGATCTCCCCTTTGATTGTGTTGATGTCATGTGAGGGACATGACGGAAGAAAATTGATCTTGCCAGAAAAGAAACTGATAGGTGTTTTGTCAGAGAATCCATTTTTGTTTGTTTAGTAACTGTCATATGCTGACATTAACGTTAGCCTCTTCTTCTGTTATCTTGATGAATCCATTTTGCCAAGTCATATGCGAGAATCTCGTGATATACAAGTTGTATGGGACTAGGCAAAAACCAAAGTCATTACAATCTTTATTGTTACTTCCAAGTCGTATGCTACAAGTTACTACAAGTCACACTGTGAGAACACACCTTTACTATAATTCACAAGGGACATATACTTCGTAGTTCTAGGTTATGAGTTGGATATTCTTCATGTTACCTATAGTCGGTTATCTGATAATATGTAGAAATGAGTGAGTTTCTCTATCTCCTCTACTCTATTACTCTATAATTGGAATGATGCCAACCTCATGACAATCAGACATTAGTGCTCATTACCACTAAACACATATCAAAGAACAGAACGTGTTTCCTAATGCAGCCTCAAGACGATCACTCTCTTCCCACAGAAGTTACTTGTCATATCTTCCTACGAACCTCTGTTCTTATACTGCCATATTTCCCGGTTCTCGTAAAATCCCCTAGCAGCTGCATTACAACAAATGTTGGATGGAAGTCAATGTTAAAATGAAGATTGTTGTGGTGCAACACAGTATTATATATCTCAGGAAGCTTAGTGGAGCCTTTCTGACAGTGAGGGGAAACCTGACATCATGAAGCGTCAACACAGCTGCAGTACAACAAATGTTGGATGGAAGTCAATGTAAAGATGAAGATTGTTGTGGTGCAACACAGTGTTATATATCTCAGGAAGCTTAGTGGAGCCTTTCTGACAGTGAGGGGAAACCTGACATCATGTAGCGTCAACACAGCTGCAGTACAACAAATGTTGGATGGAAGTCAATGTAAAGATGAAGATTGTTGTGGTGCAACACAGTGTTATATATCTCAGGAAGCTTAGTGGAGCCTTTCTGACAGTGAGGGGAAACCTGACATCATGTAGCGTCAACACAGCTGCAGTACAACAAATGTTGGATGGAAGTCAATGTAAAGATGAAGATTGTTGTGGTGCAACACAGTGTTATATATCTCAGGAAGCTTAGTGGAGCCTTTCTGACAGTGAGGGCAATCCTGACATCACCGGAACATTCACTTCCTGTCAACACAACATGGTGGCTATACGCAAGTTAACGTCTGTGTTAGTATTTGTCATGGCAGTCATAACTTGACCTTCCAACTTGACCTTGGTCACCTTCTGCAAGATTGGTCAGCAGTGCGTCTGGATGTCGTCTTTGTAGTGTGTGAATTCTGTCTGTCTTGTCAGCAGTGCATCTGGATGTCGTCTTTGTAGTGTGTGAATTCTGTCTGTCTTGTCAGCAGTGCGTCTGGATGTCGTCTTTGTTGTATGTGATGTCTGTCTGTCATGGATGTTTGTAATCTGTCAGTGATAAGTGCCTTTGATTTGTGTACAGGTGTTGTGTTGAGTATCTGCTTTCTGTGCATGCTATTTGTCTTCCTGAATCTGTTCTTGAACAGATGTGCGCATATATTTTAGAGAGAGAGAGAGAGTGTGCGTCTGCATGTCACAAGTGCTAGTGTGTGCATCCAAGTTTTGTGTCTGTCATGTATGTGAACTTTGAACTATTGATGCTAACAGAAGTCAATATGTTGTATCTTCTGGCATCAATATTCCTGCTAACGAACAATGACAATGCAATAAAGAACAAATGGTGTACAGTGACAAATATTCAAAGGAAGAAGTCGTTGTGATGTAGTATTACAGGAACTTCTTTAGGTCTGATCAGTTTATGTTTAACACAGAGATCCATTTTGTGTCTTTCCATGGATAAGTTTGTAGATGTAGTGTAGTTGTTATACATTCCTGAGTAGTTGTAAATATATCTGTTTATGTTGTTTCTCAGTCTGAAGAAACAATACTTCCTGTCAGGAAGTCATTTTGTTATGATCTTCATATCTGTATCACCTTACTGGGAGTGAAGTAGAAGTATGGCTATGGCTAGTGTTATTGTCCATCTTCTATCCATCCATCTTTTAACTTTTGATTTCTCCTCCCAATGTTCAAATCCCAGTTTATCTTGATTAGTCAGTGAGAGTATTTATGTAAAATTTAATGATTTATGATTTTGTTAAGCATCATTATTTGTACTGTTGAAAACTAGAAAACAATTTCCTGCATATGAGAAACAGCTTTAGAAATGCTATGATGGTTTTGAATGACTTACAAAAAGCAATGCAGAACATTTTATTGCTATCATACAGGGTACAGGACGCATAACAGAGCCAGTCAACAGCTAGACTCTCATCACTTAATGTTGGATTATGCATTACCATTTCGTACTATTCAACTTTCAACTCACTTTTTAACTGGTTACCAGTGGCACACTGGCACGCATTATATTTGTTTTCCATTTTTTGCCATACAGATAATATATTTATGTCTGTCTTAGTGACCTAAAAGTGGCTATACATGTGTTTACTGCAATTTGTCACTTTAAAATAAAGATCTCTAAGATATTGTCCTTCATGCATCTCAGATGGCCTTTAGAGTGGATGTATTGTTGTATTGTGCACATTTTGTAAATAACAAGTGCTAAAATAATAAAAATAATAATGTGTCCATTTATATAGCGCCAAACTCCACACTAGGTATGCTCATAGCGCTAACAATCAATGCCATTATTACCCCGGATAACCCAAGCTGCCTGTTAGGCGCTAGAAGGTTATAGTCATATGACTTTTTTCCACCGGGTACCCATTTTCCAGCTGGGTGAACAGAGACAATTTTGAACAAACTCACTTGCCTAAGGTGAGACCACATGTGTCACATGTGCTTCGTTGTGGGGCAGGACTCAAGTCCTAGAAACTCTCAGGAGTCAAGCTGCCAAACACGGTCACCCATCCAAGGACTCTCCGAGCTCGACGCTGCTTAACTTCACCGATTTGTGACCTGAGCTTTAAGCACAGGACCACGTGCTCACTCATTTCCATATGCAGTTGTTCCCTACTGACTGTGGGTCGCACCTCAAGATCCGTAGCCAATAAGCAGCATGCTTGTATTGAGGCTTTTGGATTACATGGGGTGGTTAATGTCGGTACTGGACTTCCGCATGAAGATGACTGTTCAATGCCATGGAGAACCTATGTCACTTCTTCCACCTAAATATTCTGAAGGACTCCTCAAGAAATTCATGCTGATGATATTATGTTTGTAAATCAAAAATACATATGATCCATGTTTTATTCATGCATGATATTTTCAAATAGTATTTGTGTTGATTTTATTTCACAGGGTCAACATTTTGTGATGAATCGTTTCTTTGACATATTCACTTTATCCCAGAACAATGAAAATATACAGTTGATTACCACTCAGACCTTGACTGTTATTGATTAAACTGAAATGTCCCCAAATAAAAATATAATATAAACCAGTAAAAATCAGTGTGTTACATTTGTTACAGTAATAAGGCCAGCATTGAAAAAATATACTTTTAGCTACAAACCCAGCACACTTTATTGGAGGGTGGAAGTGCTGCAGAGTTGCTTCCCATGCTTTTTCGGTGGGTAGTTTGTTACCCCAGTGGGCCATGGTTAGTCATAGTGTATGGAGGCTACTCAAAGTTCTCTTGTGGTACAACGGATCCAGTGTCTGCCCACACCATCCACCACACCATCATACCAAGAGACTAAACATGGTAGTTGTTGTTACCTTGCCTGGTTCTCTGCCTTAAGGGAATAGAACCACGACTGGTGAGCTTTGGGTCAGTATACTGTGTCTGGGTTAAACCTGCATGGTATGTCAGTGGGCTACCTCTAGAAATCTGTGAGTGGTCGACACTTGTGAAAGTAGACACTAGCACCACTCAGCTGCATACATGCACGTTTAGTCAGAACAGTGTAGTGGAGGGAAGACGGTCATTTCTGCCACGTGTTAGTTCCCCACATGAATACAATGTAAGAAGACCATTTCTGGTGTTGCCATGTGATATTGCTGGAATTTTGCTAAAATTGGCGTAAAACTTTACTCACTCACTCACTCAGTACAATAGTTTTTAACATTGCTTCAGACCCTGTTTTACCTTGCCTCACCTTACTCAATATCTCACCTAGCTCTACCATTCAGTGGCCTTTCCATAGTGGGATCAACCTTAGATATGATTAATCACAGTAGTAAAGACATACAAAATGGTTTGAATGCCTGAAAAGCAATTAATGCATGCCTTGGAAACAAAAGATTTCTTTTATTGTTGATGAAGCAAAATATCTATCCTTGTTTTATGAGTGTTTTTACATATATATTTACACATATGTTTATCATAATAAACTGCACAATCTTGTCTGGTCACTCTTTTGGTTTTCTTTCAAGCAGACTTATGGACAGAAAAGTGTGGTCAGATGTTCCATAGCTATTTTGAAGCCCTTGTTTACCAAGAGAAATGCATTTTTAGAAGTTGGACTCGGGCGTTAATTGGTCTTGATGTTTCAGCAATATATGATTGTTCACAGTTGCAGTCAATTTTGTAAATCACACCCTTAGGGTATAATTTCTAATTCTTTTTGATGGAATGGTTGTGCTCATTGGCCTGCAGTAGATTGTTGAGACTTCAGGAGAATGTAGCTTCTGGAGTCTGCTGATCTGGTGTGAAGTCTTGCCACTGTAGGGGATGGAGATGCTGATCTAGTGTGAAGTCTTGCCGCTGTAGGGGATGGAGATGCTGATCTGGTGTGAAGTCTTGCCACTGTAGGGGATGGAGATGCTGATCTGGTGTGAAGTCTTGCCACTGTAGGGGATGGAGATGCTGATCTGGTGTGAAGTCTTGCCACTGTAGGGGATGGAGATGCTGATCTGGTGTGAAGTCTGTGTGATTGGAGATGCTGCTGTAGGGGATGGAGATGCTGATCTGGTGTGAAGTCTTGCCGCTGTAGGGGATGGAGATGCTGATCTGGTGTGAAGTCTTGCCACTGTAGGGGATGGAGATGCTGATCTGGTGTGAAGTCTTGCCACTGTAGGGGATGGAGATGCTGATCTGGTGTGAAGTCTTGCCACTGTAGGGGATGGAGATGCTGATCTGGTGTGAAGTCTTGCCACTGTAGGGATGGAGATGCTGATCTGGTGTGAAGTCTTGCCACTGTAGGGATGGAGATGCTGATCTGGTGTGAAGTCTTGCCACTGTAGGGGATGGAGATGCTGATGTGGTGTGAAGTCTTGCCACTGTAGGGATGGAGATGCTGATCTGGTGTGAAGTCTTGCCACTGTAGGGGATGGAGATGCTGATCTGGTGTGGTGTGAAGTCTTGCCACTGTAGGGGATGGAGATGCTGATCTGGTGTGAAGTCTTGCCACTGTAGGGGATGGAGATGCTGATCTGGTGTGGTGTGAAGTCTTGCCACTGTAGGGGATGGAGATGCTGATCTGGTGTGAAGTCTTGCCACTGTAGGGGATGGAGATGCTGATCTGGTGTGAAGTCTTGCCACTGTAGGGGATGGAGATGCTGATCTAATGTGAAGTCTTGCCAATGTAGGGGATGGAGATGCTGATCTGGTGTGAAGTCTTGTGTAGGGGATGGAGTCTTGCCACTGTAGGGGATGGAGATGCTGATCCTGGTGTGAAGTCTTGCCACTGTAGGGGATGGAGATGCTGATCTGGTGTGGTGTGAAGTCTTGCCACTGTAGGGGATGGAGATGCTGATCTGGTGTGAAGTCTTGCCACTGTAGGGGATGGAGATGCTGATCTGGTGTGAAGTCTTGCCACTGTAGGGGATGGAGATGCTGATCTGGTGTGAAGTCTTGCCACTGTAGGGGATGGAGATGCTGATCTGGTGTGAAGTCTTGCCACTGGAGGGGATGGAGATGCTGATCTGGTGTGAAGTCTTGCCACTGTAGGGGATGGAGATGCTGATCTAATGTGAAGTCTTGCCACTGTAGGGGATGGAGATGCTGATCTGGTGTGAAGTCTTGCCACTGTAGGGGATAGAGATGCTGATCTGGTGTGAAGTCTTGCCACTGTAGGGGATGGAGTTGCTGATCTAATGTGAAGTCTTGCCACTGTAGGGGATGGAGATGCTGATCTGGTGTGAAGTCTTGCCACTGTAGGGGATGGAGATGCTGATCTGGTGTGAAGTCTTGCCACTGTAGGGGATGGAGATGCTGATCTGGTGTGAAGTCTTGCCACTGTAGGGGATGGATATGCTGATCTGGTGTGAAGTCTTGCCTGTAGGGGATGGAGATGCTGATCTGGTGTGAAGTCTTGCACGCTGTAGGGGATGGAGATGCTGATCTGGTGTGAAGTCTTGCCACTGTAGGGGATGGAGATGCTGATCTGGTGTGAAGTCTTGCCACTGTAGGGGATGGAGATGCTGATCTGGTGTGAAGTCTTGCCACTGTAGGGGATGGAGATGCTGATCTGGTGTGAAGTCTTGCCACTGTAGGGGATGGAGATGCTGATCTGGTGTGAAGTCTTGCCACTGTAGGGATGGAGATGCTGATCTGGTGTGAAGTCTTGCCACTGTAGGGGATGGAGATGCTGATCTGGTGTGAAGTCTTGCCACTGTAGGGATGGAGATGCTGATCTGGTGTGAAGTCTTGCCACTGTAGGGGATGGAGATGCTGATCTGGTGTGAAGTCTTGCCACTGTAGGGATGGAGATGCTGATCTGGTGTGAAGTCTTGCCACTGTAGGGGATGGAGATGCTGATCTGGTGTGAAGTCTTGCCACTGTAGGGGATGGAGATGCTGATCTGGTGTGAAGTCTTGTAGGGATGGAGATGCTGACTGTGAAGGGGATGGAGATGCTGATCTGGTGTGAAGTCTTGCCACTGTAGGGATAAAGTTGCTGAGGAATGTGAAGTCTTGCCAATGTAGGGGATGGAGATGCTGATCTGGTGTGGTGTGAAGTCTTGCCACTGTAGGGGATGGAGATGCTGATCCTGTGTGAAGTCTTGCCACTGTAGGGGATAAAGATGCTGATCTGGTGTGAAGTCTTGCCACTGTAGGGGATGGAGATGCTGATCTGGTGTGGTGTGAAGTCTTGCCACTGTAGGGGATGGAGATGCTGATCTGGTGTGGTGTGAAGTCTTGCCACTGTAGGGGATGGAGATGCTGATCTGGTGTGAAGTCTTGCCACTGTAGGGGATGGAGATGCTGATCTGGTGTGAGTCTTGCCACTGTAGGGAATGGAGATGCTGATCTGGTGTGAAGTCTTGCCACTGGAGGCGATGGAGATGCTGATCTGGTGTGAAGTCTTGCCACTGTAGGGGATAAAGTTGCTGATCTAATGTGAAGTCTTGCCAATGTAGGGGATGGAGATGCTGATCTGGTGTGGTGTGAAGTCTTGCCACTGTAGGGGATAGAGATGCTGATCTGGTGTGAAGTCTTGCCACTGTAGGGGATGGAGATGCTGATCTAATGTGAAGTCTTGCCACTGTAGGGGATGGAGATGCTGATCTGGTGTGAAGTCTTGCCACTGTAGGGGATGGAGATGCTGATCTAGTGTGAAGTCTTGCCACTGTAGGGGATGGAGATGCTGATCTGGTGTGAAGTCTTGCCACTGTAGGGGATGGAGATGCTGATCTGGTGTGAAGTCTTGCCA